CCCCCCCCCCCCCCCCCCCCCCCCGATACAGCGAAAGATTAAAACCAACAACGATATAAAATGAACCACCGATGAGGAACAAAAGTTAACGTTCGCGTATATTACGTTTCGTTCGTTACTAATTCTTCCAATGTATGCGCTTTTTACAGTTACGGAAACAAATGGCCTATTAGTTCTTCGAACCTAACATTATTTGTTGCACTATCCGTTAATTTGGCATAACACGGTTGTTGCAAAGAATATAAAACTTCCATGTTATACGGGGGTTATCTATAATCGTTATTTCTATGCGTTTTTTTCCGATTTATTTACTATGTGCGTACTCGTCATTCTTCTTCCGCCCCTTGCCACCCCCCTGTCTTGTTCGCCGCTCTCCTTCCCTAACTCCCTCTCCTTCCGTTCTCTCTCTCTCTCTCTCTCTCTCTCTCTCTCTCTCTTCTATCTTTCTTCGGCGAAAGCATTTATTGCAAACTAAAAGAATCCACTTGGCTCTGACAATGGAGTGCTCATGTTCATCGGTAATTAGCTGCCTAACGTCTGGGTATACGTGGTATTTTATACCTCTGGAGAGTTTGGTGTAGTCGCGTTGATATGATCCTGTAAACAAATTCTGAGATCCCGCTCGTCCAGTTCGCTTTCAGTGTCAACACTAAAGCTCCTCACGCTTTGACTACCGCGACCTGTCCAACGTTGCTTCCAGCTTTCTAGCCTCATGACCTATGACACACAAAAAATATCAAAATATTACTCGCCAAATCTTTCTATACACTGCAATTATAGATATTATTATACATTATTGTTCAACGATAAAGTATCCCTTATGCTGTTTCCTAAAAGATAATACTTATCTAACGAACGCGTTTATACGGTTCATCAAATTTTGTTTTCGTTGTAAAAGAAGCAGATAAATTCTGTAAAAATGATTACAGACGTTTGTAAAAGTTATTCAACTTTCAATCTTTTCGAAGGTGATGAAATTGCCTTCTATTTATCTTAAATACGAGAGGTCTATGACAAACTTGAATGTTTGGCGAGATGAGCAAAGCGAATATCATGCTCGTTAAGCTTGTATGTACGGTAATTTACACAAAGATGCACAACAAGAATACAATATCGTAACGTTTTGTATCCTCGGTTTTCTATCGGATGCAATACAAGAGACACTGGATAGACGCTTGTTGCTGCTATAGCCCCATTCGAAGATCGAATTAAACAGTTATTCCGTAATAACTGTAATGTCTGCGAAAATATCGAAACAAACCATTTGACACGATATCGGAATATTATGCTTATGATTTCACCGAACAACATGCATCGGTGAACCAATGATTAGTTAATGCATCAGTTGTCATTTGATTCGGCAACATTCGACAAATGCCTTCTTTCGCAAATATTTTCGGTCCGTCACCCATTCCGGTGTATAATAAAACACTTGAATTGCTTGTTCTATAATGGCCGATCGAACAACAACAAATAAGAAATGCACGTAAATTTTCCATCGTACACATGCGTCGATGTAAAGAAATTCTGTGTACTCGCGTCCGAGTTTGCCGTTTAAAAACCAACACCGCGATATGTAATTATATGTACATGTTATATACAAGTAACTTAAACATTATAATGAATTCTAATTCAAAATGATCAACGTTTAAACCATTCTTCTTTAGGAGAAACGGTCACTCGAAGTAAGTCGTTGAATCGGTTAGGGAAGTTCTACCGAAAACTTCATAGACGATCATAGCGATACACAGCTGATGCAACGTTATACCCCAATCCTATTACAAAATATGTACAAAACTACACACCGAGAAACTTTTTCTCGGTTAACACCGGTTCGCACCGAGGTCATGCTACATACATATATATATATATATATGAATGATAAAGTAATGCTTACAGATGAGTAAAGACTTACTCGAGCCAGCGCCAAGGCTCAGTCTCCGGGCTGGTGATTGGCGTAGGGAACTAAGGAGACAGAGATAACACAGCAATAGAGGGTTAGTTTTATAAACACCATTAGTTTCTGTGTGTTAGTGTCTGGTACCTTCACACAATAAGAATTCGATTATTTCATGGAAATAATCAAGCTCGAACGATGCCACACCACATTGTCTCTCTTCCATCGAACTCTGCTCGCGTTGGAATTCGTTCGACAGCGCGTTACCATATAAAATCACTAATATCTTTGAAGGTGTACATCCCCGATCTGTGTACTTGGGTTTTCCTTTATTCGAGTATTCCACCGAATCGCAACGTTATAATCGCATTCTAGAATTTTTCTCCGTGCTGTGCTAACTCTCGACACATCTAACAGAGTATCCTCGAAGCACAATTCATACGATAAGTATCAAGCTTGACTAACTGTGATTACGGTACGTGGAGTAACGAAACAAATATATGTATGTAGAATAAGTTCTATGTTATTCTGGCGCCCTCAAAGATACAAGCTTTCTTTTTGTTCGCAACAAGGATGACTCACGTTATTGCAAGTGCAGAAACAGTATTTAATTAGCAGGTACCGAAATTACGTTTAACACATTAAATGTGAAGCAACTCGACACCTAAAATTTATATTTTACATTGCAGAAAAGACATAACAAGCTGTGAATGCAACCTATCGTAGAACCTACGAGTCGTAATTCATAAACGCATAAATTATATAAACGCAAACAAATTAAGGGTGGACCAAGACAAGTACATGATGAAACACGATGAATTCTTAATGTGTACAGGTACCTCTGCGAAAACATGTCGGTTGTTTACGTGTTAGATAAGAACAGGCTGTGTTACGTGTTGCTATTTGGTTATTTGGTAAGAAACGTTAGAAGTATGCACTGTAAACGATAACATTTAGATTATTGGTAAGTTGTTCGTCTCGATGATCGGAGGAATCAATTTTACGAAGTTCGTTCTTTCGAATCTATCATCGGATAGATTTCTCTGGAAGTTTTTAACAATGTAAAAACTAATCTAAAGCAAAATACTATTTTTCAGCGTGACAACATTACATTGCAGTAAGAGGTGCAATTTGTGCAAAACCAATTTGTGAGTCACAGTAACACAAAAGCATAAATCATAATTTCACTTATTTTACATGTTGTAATGTCGGATGCATCGATGCGCATCTAGTAAAACACAGTTAGAAGAAGAATGCGATATTGATATACACAGTATATTGATATATATATATATACACATACATGTTCTTTGAATGTTATTTGCTGATTAAACCCTTGTTGTACCGTTGACGAGTCTAACTCGTGATGGAGATTTCTAGCAATAACATATTACGTATTAACGTTATTCCGACTTGAAAGAACGGAAACACGCGATAAATATAGATTTTCTTTTTCTTTTTCTTTTTCTTTTTCTTTTTCTTTTTCTCCTAAGAAATTATCGCAATCGGAAAAATATACGTACGACAAGGGGTTAACAGATTCAGGGTATTCGCGTTAATAATGAAACACATTAACGAGTTAATCGATTCGAAAACATGAATCAATGGTGCATCGGTTACAGCAAAAATACTGTTCGTTCGTCAAAAACCTGGCCTTTTCGAATAAGATAACTTAGGTTGTAACGATTGTATAGAGTTTCTGTAGGCAAACGTATATGTGAAACGTATGAGAATATGGAGCGATGGAAAAATCATAAGTCAAGACCGTACATCGCGAACCATCGATTAGAATTATGTACTTCTAATCCCAAGTGTGCGCAAGTCTTTATAATTACGTCCATCTACAAGCATCGAAATCTACCAACTCGCAGCTCGCAGCAAATTCCAATAATAATTGGACTTTAAGCTTTTTCGACGTAATCGTATACCTACGTTTCCATGGTCTACCACAATTACTTTTCTAGCGTTAATGTATTCTTGATACTTTTATTCATTTGTTCTGTAAATAATGCGAATTCTTTTATCGTGTTCTTTATCATGATATTCGCATTACTTATGGAGCGATCGATGCGAACGGAAGGAACCGAATCGGTATCGTCAACGATTGCAAACGTGTACGAACAATTCCATGAGAAACTAATTATACTTGCGCATAATTGAAAGCATTCGTAATTCTTATACATAGTTTATTTCGAAGATGAAAAAGTCGAAACTCTTCGAGATGGACACGAATTCAGTTAAAGACAAAGACTCTTTGAACTTGAAATAAGAAAAATAATCTTCGTTTCGATGAAAAAACAAAATTCTTTTAGTTTTCGACCCTATAAATTTGCAATCACCCCTTACTGCAACTGTCTCGTTAAATATCAATGCTTTCATTGATGCAGCACAGACGATGGTCCTACTATGGTTTCCACATACCTCAGCTTTTAATTCTGCAACTTTATCCTGCAATTCTCTTACTCTCTCGCTGTCGTCCAAATTATTCCTAAGCTCACCCTCGGCATGCATTTCTTCGTTCTACACAGAATAAACATAATAAACAGAACGATAAATAGGCACACCGTAAACATGATAAACATAATAAAGATAACGCGGATAAAAAAGACTATTGGTCCCTCCCGGAAGGCAACGTGCGCAAACGTTAATGAAAAATAACGAATACGCGATACCTTTAATTCGAGAATGGATATTTTCTGGGTGAGTTCGGCCACTTGTTGCGCATGTTCCGCATCGCGTATCCTCGCCATCATAGCTTCATCTTTCATCTTTGACTCCAGATCGGAATACTTGTGTTGTTGCTCCCTCAATTTGGCAGTAAGCTCCTTTTCTCTAGCTAAAGCAGACTCCAGCTCTTCCTTGACCTGTTTCCCTCCTTCGTCTTGCCGACGAAGCTGGTTCGTGGCTACCTGTACTTGAGTCTCGAGCTCCATCACTTTCAACCGAAGTTCCTTCACCTCCGTCAAGGCTTCCATTTCCCGAATCCTGGTTGTCATTAAATCTTCCTCAAACTTTTGCACTTCGTGGCCCCTATTCTCCCAAAATAGAAGCTTCTTCGGAGTGGAATCCGAAGCAGGCGCTGTTTGAGCCGAACGATGCTCTTGCAAATGCCTTTGCCAGGCAGCACTCAACTCCACAACTCTTTGACGAAGATCCTAACAAATTTCTTCCATTAAGATAAGTCTCGTTAAGCGTTATTTCAGTCGTAGGAAAATAAGAGAACGACGGTAAGAGAATAAAGAAAGAGTAAAATTGTAGGAGAAGCAAAAAGAAAGAACTATAATACTACCTTCAAAGAGAGATTAGCTTCCGCTTCCCTCAGCTTCACGGCGATTAATTCCTCCTGCAAGTGGGCAACCGAATTGTCCGGTGTAGTTTCGCGCAACGTCTTCTTATCTTCCTCCAGTTCCTGTATTCTTGATCTGAGCTCCCTTATCGTCGCATCGTTCTCCGCTTCGTGCAGTCTGACTCTAACCAATTCCTCTTGCAAACACTGTATCATTTCTTCTTTTTGAGATAATGCCTCCTGCTTCGATAAAATTTCATCGAGAGACGATTGCTTGGAATTGACATTCTCCTCCAGCAACAACGACAGCGATCGTAATTCCTCGTGGGCCTGCTCGAGCTGATGACTGGTCTCCAAGTGCGTATGTCGGAGTGCTGCCAACTCCCTTTGCACAACGAACGTAGTTTCTTCTTCTTCCGCGCGGGAAACTTGCCCCCGGACCAATCGATCCGCCAGTTCCGCAGACTCAGCCTCGAGAAGCTCGGTTCTTTGCCTGAGTAACCTGTTTTCCGCTCTGAGCCTACGAAGTTCGACCATCTCTTCTTGCTCCTTCATTTTCAAAACGGTATAGTCTTTCTCTAACTTCTTCATTCTTTTCGGATTGATCTTCATGCTATAGGCAAGATTCATGAGTCCATCGGGGTCTTTCTCGGCTTTTCCGGGTAATTGTTTCTGGAAAAACTGCACGCCGGGAAGCCGATTAATATTTTGATGGCGAGCAGAGAGGCGGTAAGCGGAAACCGAGAAATCGAAAAATTCCAGAAAGTAAGATACACCATGTCGTGTCGTGTTACCTTCAACATGCCCTCCATATCCAAGCTCAATAGATCTTCCTTGCCTAAGTGCAACATGGCCAGCGCAATTTTGAAAATAATTTCCATGCCTTCGGATAGAAACACGTCAAAAATGCGGCAGGCCAGCGGTAGGCTCAGCGCTGTGGTGAAAAGCGTAAGGAACCAAGACGATGCGTACATAGAAGTATGAAAACCTTGAGCCATAAAATGAGCGTGTAACTCGGGATGCGTGTCAGCAACTAAATGTTCTAGCTGATACATGCACACCCCTAACTCGGCCATACTCGGCTTGAACATATCTCGCAAACGATACTCTTGCATAAGCGCTACCAGTACAGCGAAAGCTTCCTCTTCCGGCATTTGCTGTAACAACAGATCGAATACCTATTTATATTCGGAACAACGACAACGTAACCGGATGTCCATTCTTTAAAAGTTTTCCATATTCTTTGATATCCCTGTCTCGTGTCAAGTATTAAAGTGTACCTGCATGAGGAGCAATCCTACAATAAATCCCGAACCTTGACAGTATCCAACTTCACGATCGTGAAGACTGTACGCTTTCATAACGTTAAACAGACTTTCTTGGCCAAGCCCGTCTTTCTCCTTAAAAAAGTCATGCTCGGGATACGTTCTGGCTATGTCCCTTCTGATTATCCTCTCGCACGCCGACGTGGCTTTGATATATTCGGCAAATTGCTTTTTAACAGGAGAGTCGTGAGCACCGCTTAACAGTTGCCAAACGATACCTCTGCAATTGCGAACACGGGTCAGTCGTCGGTCAGATTGCTCTATCGAAATTTCAAATTTCAAATTTGTCCGGTCGAAGCTTATACGTCTAAAGAGATTGAAATATTCTCGCAGGTCCTAGGTAATTTCAACTATTCGAGAAAGATTTATTACCTAAAGTGGTGAGGTATTCCCTGACGTACTAACTCTTTGACAAACTCTTTCCTCTTCTTCCAATGATAATCCCAATCTGCGACGATGTGACCCCACAGAGTCCATGTATTTTCTTCACCATCGACCGTAGCGTGGCGTCGAGGCGCAGCATCGCCGTTCCCTCCGCTGCCCCCCGACGCCACGGACACCTGCGATGTGTCGGAACCTTTCCTACTGTGATTGCTCTGTAGCGAGTTCAACGATTTTGCACCCGATTCGATAAGCCTGTTATCAATTACACACGAAATCGTTCAAATTCTTGCTAGCCCGTATCACAAATACGTATAATGTAAATATTTTCATTCCGCTTATTTTGCCAAATGCCATATTGGGTTGTACGTTTACGATACCATCGCGTCGTAAAAGTACATCCGGTATACTCTATCAATTTCACCCGTTTATCGTACACATTCTATGCCTTTGTCAAGATTCACAATGGCACAAACTAACACACGAAGCTGATTTACTAAATCGAAGCCAATAGTACACGTTAAAGGTATACGGTTCAAACTAATTAGAGGAACAAGCTAAAAGTTCGTGTGGTAGCATATACGTACTGTGTGGCACTTGTCTAGTAAAAAATTAACACGCTTACAGCTACATGCTACTCGATTTACCGTAAAATGACCCTCTAATAGGTTTCACTTTATAACAAACATAATAGTAATAAAATAATGAATAAAAACGCTAATATATAAAAATAAAATAAAATAAATAATATATATTAATAATAATATATGTATATATATATATATATTATTATTAATGCACATGCAGCCATGAACACAGAGGTTGATTAGCATGATAATTAACCTATTGGCTTCCTCCAGTTTAGCTAATAGAGCCAGCTCGTCGATAGATATTTCCTGCGTCGCGGTTATCCTATCTTCCTCGGATGAAACTGGTGGTAAACTGGGAAGTATTTTGCTAGCCTGGTTCTTGCTCTGAGCGATCCGATGGACAGTGGTGCATAAACACAACACGCTCATCACCTGCGGTCCATAACGCGATTCACCGACGCCGGTTCCCTGATTCTCTTGGACCCTGAAAAGAATCGGTCATTTATTAGATTATTTTCGCAAACCTATTAGAAAAGAAAAAAGAAAGTCCGCGACAAAATGATTTCTCGCGCGATGCGTTTCCAAGTTATTCGTACATATTGCTACGCGATCGAAAATATATATGTAAGAGAGAAAATGAACGATACAAAGCGAGAGGACGAGAGAACGACGAGTGATAGGAGCTCGACCAAAGTTTGAATACGCTCGCGCTCTTCGACCCCCAATGAATTTCAAAAGTCTCGATGAACGTTCGTTACGCAGTCCTCCTCTTCAACCCCCACCAGCCGTCTTTCCTTTCTCTCTTAACGCTGTTCGAAGTTCGTTAAACCTCAATTAACGTGTTCATTCTACCTTTTCGGCGTTTTATTTCGTGTCCATCGCGCTGCCGCCGGTGCCAGCAAGCCACGAAGAACCATCGAGAAATTTCTTCTCGATCGCTCCCGAAACTTTCGATGACGAAGAACCGATCGGATTCGGACGGCGGGTCCCTCCTTCCAAGATTACACTCGATTCGTACATAAACGATCGTTACGCGTCGCGGTCCGTCACACTCTTGCAATTTTCTGCGAAACTATTTCGAATTCCGTGGAGAGATGATACGCATACGTACACATCCCAATGTCGTTCGACTTTTCCTGCGCGCAGTTTTTAACTGAATTTTCGAAATCGATGCACAAATAATTGCAGCATTTCTGAAATTGAAACTTCCGAAGTTCTAATGCTCGCGAAACACGCGCGACCAGCGTCGAAATTTTAATAACGTCTGTTATCGACATTTTTAACACATTTTTGTCATCGGTATAGAGAAACGTTTAGATTCGAACGGTACCAAACGTACTCGAATGCAAAACAAACGACGAAAGTTCGAGAAGAAAACCAAGCAATTAGCGCGTGCGAATGAATTGGTAAACGAAAGAGTAGGCGAGGGAGTGCAGGCGCGAAACATTCGGGACAATACGCCATACGTTATACTACAGGGTACACCGGGTGCACGAGATAGGATAATTTACATTTCTTGGTAGCCTGAATCGCTGTGGAATATATAACGCGTCGGACGTCCGCACGCGAACGACAACACGGATCAACGAACCCCTGAACTTGATCAAATATAGTAATATTACACAAACTATTGCATAATACTCTCGAGCGAGTTATATTCGATGCGTCCCCTTTTCGAATTCGATGCGCGGTTAGCGCCACGATTCAACCAAGTCGCGCTACGGCCATGCGTGCATGATTTTATTTTCATTATTTCTCTCTTTTTTTCTTACTTATCGTTATAGTTAGAAAGTTAGAATCATCCAAGTTCTCACGCTCTACATTCGCTCTGACACATTTCGTAGCGTACGATGTCTCAGGCTCCCACGTACGAACGATCTCGTATAAAATGTAACAGTTCCAGAATTTCTCTGCCGAACGAAACGAACCACAACGCCTTTCATCGAATGGGATACCCCCCCCCCCCCCCCCCCCCCCCCCCCCCCCCCCCTCCCTCCCCTCNTGTATATATATATATATATTATTATTAATGCACATGCAGCCATGAACACAGAGGTTGATTAGCATGATAATTAACCTATTGGCTTCCTCCAGTTTAGCTAATAGAGCCAGCTCGTCGATAGATATTTCCTGCGTCGCGGTTATCCTATCTTCCTCGGATGAAACTGGTGGTAAACTGGGAAGTATTTTGCTAGCCTGGTTCTTGCTCTGAGCGATCCGATGGACAGTGGTGCATAAACACAACACGCTCATCACCTGCGGTCCATAACGCGATTCACCGACGCCGGTTCCCTGATTCTCTTGGACCCTGAAAAGAATCGGTCATTTATTAGATTATTTTCGCAAACCTATTAGAAAAGAAAAAAGAAAGTCCGCGACAAAATGATTTCTCGCGCGATGCGTTTCCAAGTTATTCGTACATATTGCTACGCGATCGAAAATATATATGTAAGAGAGAAAATGAACGATACAAAGCGAGAGGACGAGAGAACGACGAGTGATAGGAGCTCGACCAAAGTTTGAATACGCTCGCGCTCTTCGACCCCCAATGAATTTCAAAAGTCTCGATGAACGTTCGTTACGCAGTCCTCCTCTTCAACCCCCACCAGCCGTCTTTCCTTTCTCTCTTAACGCTGTTCGAAGTTCGTTAAACCTCAATTAACGTGTTCATTCTACCTTTTCGGCGTTTTATTTCGTGTCCATCGCGCTGCCGCCGGTGCCAGCAAGCCACGAAGAACCATCGAGAAATTTCTTCTCGATCGCTCCCGAAACTTTCGATGACGAAGAACCGATCGGATTCGGACGGCGGGTCCCTCCTTCCAAGATTACACTCGATTCGTACATAAACGATCGTTACGCGTCGCGGTCCGTCACACTCTTGCAATTTTCTGCGAAACTATTTCGAATTCCGTGGAGAGATGATACGCATACGTACACATCCCAATGTCGTTCGACTTTTCCTGCGCGCAGTTTTTAACTGAATTTTCGAAATCGATGCACAAATAATTGCAGCATTTCTGAAATTGAAACTTCCGAAGTTCTAATGCTCGCGAAACACGCGCGACCAGCGTCGAAATTTTAATAACGTCTGTTATCGACATTTTTAACACATTTTTGTCATCGGTATAGAGAAACGTTTAGATTCGAACGGTACCAAACGTACTCGAATGCAAAACAAACGACGAAAGTTCGAGAAGAAAACCAAGCAATTAGCGCGTGCGAATGAATTGGTAAACGAAAGAGTAGGCGAGGGAGTGCAGGCGCGAAACATTCGGGACAATACGCCATACGTTATACTACAGGGTACACCGGGTGCACGAGATAGGATAATTTACATTTCTTGGTAGCCTGAATCGCTGTGGAATATATAACGCGTCGGACGTCCGCACGCGAACGACAACACGGATCAACGAACCCCTGAACTTGATCAAATATAGTAATATTACACAAACTATTGCATAATACTCTCGAGCGAGTTATATTCGATGCGTCCCCTTTTCGAATTCGATGCGCGGTTAGCGCCACGATTCAACCAAGTCGCGCTACGGCCATGCGTGCATGATTTTATTTTCATTATTTCTCTCTTTTTTTCTTACTTATCGTTATAGTTAGAAAGTTAGAATCATCCAAGTTCTCACGCTCTACATTCGCTCTGACACATTTCGTAGCGTACGATGTCTCAGGCTCCCACGTACGAACGATCTCGTATAAAATGTAACAGTTCCAGAATTTCTCTGCCGAACGAAACGAACCACAACGCCTTTCATCGAATGGGATACCCCCCCCCCCCCCCCCCCNACCCCCCCCCCCCCCCACCCCGCTTTTCACATCGTTCGAATATCTTTCAAAATTTTAACGTTTGCCAAATGTTTGGTCACTCGATGATCACCCGACTTTACAGGGCGGTAGAGAGGCAACGAAAGAAATTCAAAATTCCTTTGTTAGTTTAAGCAACGAACGAGGAATCCGATTATCGTTGTTATCGGAGAATACTTATGGTCCGTATCGAACGGTCAAGGACGATCGAAACAACGAAGGTGAAGAGGTTATGTCTCGTTCACCCCGTAATTAGGGAATAATTAGAAAAGAGAATTACTCGAGTAGTTGTTTCTTCTTTTCTAAAGAAATTAGCACAGAATATGTTTTCGATCGAGTTACGGGTTGTTTAGGTGTTTAGGAGATCGTCGAACTGGGAATCACGATATCACGGATAACGATCGATCCTCAAAATTTGAGAAAACGCGATCGTTCGACAAGGGCCACCGATCGATCGGCCAATAGACGTTGATATTCGATCGTTTCTTTCTCTATTAATCGACACGATATGCTCGTGTCAAACGCGTAGGTACGAACTGGAAAGTACGAAATACGAAATGATTTGAGGGTCGATGGAGCCCGCGCAGGCCAGGACACTCCACATGCGCACCGACCTCTCTTTCCTCTAACAGGTAAATAAAAGGACGAGTCCGAGAGCAAGAGTCTTATTTCCTGACGAAGGCGACGCGAGAGATCGAGAGAAAAGGAAGCTTTCGTTCGCTATCCTCTATAAAATACCTGTCAACGAATCGCATAAAATAAGTCGAGAGGAGACTGAACATCGGCAACGGCTACTTATTTACGATGGAACTAAAATCAATCTTTTCGTTCTCAGCACGGAAAAGGAAAGAAAATGAAAAGAGAAGAAGCGCGGAAAATATCGAATCGCGAAAGCTCCGATTGCATATTTCATCGAAATAATGTTCGTTTTATGGCTCGTATCTACATATTCTCGTTAATTCGATTAGGAGAGACTGGTGCGCGCGACAGTTTTTTCCGCGCTCATTACAATACGGTCTTCGTAATTGTTCCGTAGCGAGGAACGAGGAGAACGACGGATCGCTTTACCGTTACGATTACACAACGAGTGGCGCGGAGCGGGCGGCGGACACCACGTATGCTTTGAATGCGTATGCGTAGACGTGGAAAGCAATCGTTGAAACGCGTGCGTGAACAAAGCGATCGAAATGAAAAAGCGGGGTAGTGTACCGTGTCGCGGAACGCGATCATTTTAAAACATTCCCGCGATTTTCGTGACGAAAATTCCATTTTCTCCCTATACGTTTCACACGTCGTTTCCACATCACCGATCGCTCGCAACTTTCAGGATATCGCTGAATCGCGACATTTAACATTTCAATACAATTGCTATTCGATTAAACTATTTCATCAAATTCGAACAGTATATTCTACCAATTATCAAGGTTACCATTAAAGAAACGTTACAAGTATAAAAACTGTAGTTGTATAACAACGTTTCTGCCGGTAACACGGTCGAATCGTAAATCATGTAACTATTATCGGCTCATAGTTGTACACGTAGATTCTACAGAGTCGCAGAATGGATACGGAAGAGAAATTCGATTATGTACGTCTAAATTTGGTTTCTTGTCCGATAAACCAGAACTAGAGCGTTGTACACTTTATACGAATGATACGTTGGAATTTCTATAAAATCAATGTTAACGAGAACGAGGCTATTAGAAATTTCTTTTAGAAGGTGCTCCTTTTCGACTGCACGAAAGGAATGGATCGTTTCAGCATTTATCTAGATAAATTTGTACAAGTTTCGCAAGCTCTAACGTAGCTTGGACAACTATGGAATATGTGTTCTTACGCGGTGAAATAAATATATACATTTTCTACGTAACGTGCTGTCGAAAACATTAAAATATAAAACCAAACTCGTACCGTCTCTAATCTGCGTGCTTTTAAAGAGAAAAATCGCTTGGCATAGCATACGTTTACGGACACAGCGAAACATACGTATGTATGTATGTAGAAAGAAAGAATCGAGAAGAAATTTTAATGTTTTTGGTAGAGACGAGATTAAAGACGACATTTAAATGCTGTTTCTTTCTTAGAAATATTTCTATAATCGTCTACGATGTTATATTAGTTTCTAGTTTTATTTCGTTTCAAAGTAAATTGAAATACCCACACAGGATTTTCGAAAGATACTTCTATACTGAGAGAAATAAATATTTTCAACGTGACATCATTAATCGTTCTCGCGTATGTAATCTGTCGTTTCACGACGCATTTCACTGGAACGAAACGTATATTTGGCAACGATATATTGTAAATCGAGAAATTAGAACACGAACGTTCGGTAACAGGTGCTTAACAATATACGACGACGGAAAAGGAAAACTGTCAGATGGGCGCTTGCCCGTATCAACGAATTGTCAGACTACCGAATTACCAACGACACAATCTCTTTCTAATATGTACTAAAACTGCTGGAATAGACTTACTTTCGGCTCGACTAATATTCCATACGACCTCCGACGCGAATGAATCACGCACAGCGTTAAAACATTAAGGTTTTCATTCGGAACGCCGCTTCCAGCCGCTTCGTTGTTCGTGTGCAACGAGCAGGCACATACGCGGCTGTCACCACTCACCAACTTAAAATTGTCATCACGGACGGATAGATCTGTCCGCACTGTTGCCAACATTGCGATAACGATAACTAACGATAACCAGCACCGGCATGGAACACGCGAATAGCGCTTATTATCAGTTTGCAAAATATATATTCGACCGTAGAGAGAGATTTTCCTCGACTTTGTTCTAATAAAAAGCTATTCGTATCATTCGTATCCTTCAGAAATATAGAAATCAACATTTCTTTCTCATAATTAGGGCACGTTTTCAACACTCCGTGTTATGACATCTGTATGCACGATGTACGCATGTATACATATTGTTCTCACTCTTCTTTAAACTGGACAAATATTACATGTAAGAGAATATAGATTGAACATCTCGATTCAAGTTTAAATACATTCTATCAAATTATAATTCTCAAAATCTGTATATTTCATATTTAATCAATTCGATTTGTTTCCTGGAAATTAAATATTTTCACATTAAAACAGTTCAACTATTTCGAAATTGCAGAGACATATCATACTAACGTAACTTTGTAATTTGAAAATATTTAGAGACATATGTATCGAGTACATGCATTTAAGTATGTATGTATGTATGTATGTACATCTTGTTCATTCTGACGTCATGTATATGATTTTATCTATGCTTCAGGAAAATTATCTGAAACCGTGTCTATACTAGGTATACTAAGCAGGGCTAGGGTATACTAAGCATTCGTGTTCGGTGACTGATCTGAAATATGCTGCAGAACGGTGAAGAGAAGACCTCACGAATGGAATTGGATGTTGCCAATGAATTCTAATGACAATTTCCAATGGCAATGTTCGGTCTGCTCACTGCCACTCTGGAGCATATGATGTACAGAGAATCGTTCCAGATTTAGACCCAGATCTTACACGTGACACAAACCACCGCTCTGGTGTGGACATCAACAGACATCACCTGGCGTCGCTATAACCATAATAATATAACCAATGTAACCATAACTTTGATCGGACGATAGTCTATTGGTCTATAGACCAGCTTAGAAAGAAAAAGATTGAAGAAAATGATTTCTATTTGTTACTGCCACCGCGATCGATCAACGATAATACGATCGTACGAACTAGATTTATAGATAACTAGATTCATATGATTTCTAAAAGTATCGAACAATCTGTTACTGTTACATCTGTTACCAATTATTAGCAAACGTTGCAGTTGCATGTTTCTGTTTTGTTAGTAAATGAAAACTCGTCGTAAGAATCGTGCACGTGTTTTGCAAAATGACGTACAAATTTACAGGTTTCTACGTTTTCACGAAAATAAACCGTTTTCACGGTAGAAGGGACCTGTAGATTTTAGATTTTTCGTGTTATGTGTGTAACATTTAGGAACGTTATTGCTCGAAGCATTGAAATTTTGCTAAAATGTCCTTAAGAAAATTCATGCATTCTAGAAACAGATATAAAAATATACCAGATTTTAAACAACTTGCATTATTGTATCCAGCATTTCGTAATGTTGCAAATATAGTAAGCGAATAATACGTTCGAATGACGTTTCAGTCACGTATAAAATATAATCATGTTTTGAACTAAATTTTTAGGATCTGACTGGCAAAGTAAAACTTGACTTTAAAAATGAAGAGTGTTTGCGAGTACTGACAGAAGTATTGTTGAAGCATGACTTCAATTTAGACGTGAAAATACCTCCAAACAAATTGGTGCCAACATTGCCATTACGTCTGAATTATGTGTTGTGGATCGAAGATTTAATAAAACACTCGTCTTTTTGTGAAATGAAGGAAGCTATTGGCATAGATATTGGTATTTATGACGGATAAATTACAATGCTTTGTCAGAAAATATTCTGAATACGTGTATCGGTTTTCATAGGGACCGGAGCAATTTGCATATATCCGTTATTGTTCGCAAGGATGTATGGAAATCGAATGATCGGCACAGAGATCGATGAAATCAGTTTACAAACAGGTACTCGACAAGTTGAACATAATAATTTACAGCATTTGATAAAAGGTAATAGTTTTAGTTGCTAGATAATAAATGCTTCTATGTTACCCTAATATTTGATGTTTGCAGTATTGAAAGTAGATGGACAAACGGTCTTCAGGGACGTCGTAAAAGAAGATGAAACTTATCACTTTGCAATGTGTAATCCACCTTTTTTTGAAACAGAGGAATCAGGGAAAGTAGCTAAACGTCTACCACCTAGAAATGCTCCGACTGGAAATCAGGCTGAACTTACGATTCAAGGCGGTGAAAGGGCATTTGTTAAACGAATGATAGACGAAAGTATAGAAATGGGAGGAAAAATAAAAATTTATACCACCATGTTCGGTCGAAGAAGCAACTTGTTGTTTCTATTAAAATTAATCAAAAAGAGAAACATAGAGAACGCTACCTGGACAGAATTTTGTCAGGGTCATACCAAACGGTAAATTCATTACTTCACCGAGCTGTGTTCTATTGTAAAAATAATGGAACTCTGTTCGTTACTGGACTTATTCTATAGGTGGGGATTGGCATGGACGTATTTATCGAAAGATGCAATTAATTTGACGAGTGCCCCTGTTATTAGGAAAAGCGGAGACTATATTGCAAAGCTGTTAAGACAGAAACGTCCAACGGAGATACAATTTCCAATGAAAGATAAAATCCTCTCTTTCGATAACTTGATCGATTCCATAGAAGAATCGATGGAAGAATTACATGTAATATGTAATCTAATGTTCTCTATGTTCGTATATCTAATATATTGGATTTATAAAATTTTAGCTCGTATTCTATTCTCTGCGCAGGTTCGTATCAAAGAATTAAAATTGCCTATCGTTGATTTCAATGGTTGGTCGTGCCAGTTGGTTGCAAGAAACGACTCCTGGTCGCATTCGCGTCGAAAACGTCGATTAGCTCAAAGGAAAATTAACCAAGAAGCAGATTGTCATAACGAGGAAGAATCAAGCGAACACGGTGGAAGAATTGCCATCGACCAAATAGAAGATGGTACAAATTGTTCCGACACCGAGGAACCTTTTTTAGTGTGTAACTTTTTCGTTGAACTGATTGAAAATGAAGAAGAATTTGAAAGCGATAGCATAAGAATATCCATGGTTTTTGAAAAAGGACGCGGTGGCAGAAATGCTTTAGAAACATTCAAACAGTATTTGATAAACAAACTAGATATTAAAGACTGTTTACAAAAACAACAAACGATGTTATCACCGAAGAAGAAAAGGAAAAGGCTGAAGAGAAGCAACAGCGATAAGCGTTGTAACAACGTGGATCAAAGCAGTGGTTCGCGTGAACAGAACGTGGAATCATCTTAAGTTATGTCACATTTGTTCGACTTAAAATTATGTAAGTTCATATATGTATGCTATGTAATAAAACTTGTGAGAGGCGACGTCAAAATAATAAACACATTCATGAATGAAATAAAGCATACCGTGTATATGACACGAAGGAGAAAGGACTATTCAAGAAGAGAGGAACCAGAGAGATGGAGCAAGGAAGAAAGATGGGCATTATTCGGCATTCTAATAACCGAGGCATCTTTATTTTCTTCATTATTATCACTTTTAATGCTGCTCGTTGATTTCATACCACAGATTGCCATAATTATGTGTATTTATGGTATTTTAGAAAATACGTAATCCTTTTATGTACTGTGAAACGCTATCGTCGCGTAGCGGTAAACGGCCAAATTAAAGTTCTAGGTCAACAAAATACATAATCGAAGAGTACAAAAATGTTCAAGAGATTCTTCTACATCTCTACCTACATCATGCAAGAAGCTTTAATTAAACCAGGCCTGGGTGTGACCGTTCATGGAATTTCCACCTAAAGCCAGTGTGTCCAGTGGTGTTAGGGATTCTGCTTCAAGTGGCGGAGAAGAGACCTCACAAATGAGATTGAACGATTCCAATGGAAATCTATTGGCATTTGTGTTGGGTAAATCTCTCGCTCTTATTTTCTTAGAAGGAAGTCGTAAAGGGGTCAAGATGCTAGGAGATCTGCAGTGCAGATAACAATTAAAATCATTAGATGACGCCACTATGTATTTCCAAGAGCACTTACTCTGTCGGCAAATCTATTTAATAGTTTGAACGTTTTACTACTGTGTGCAATGGCGTTATTCGGGTGTCTGAACGACGCGCGAAAAATTCGAAGTATTGTATGGCAAAAATCCATATTTAATAAATGCGCGCTATTTCATAGACTGTAGTTTCGAACTTTAGCTAGCCGAAATTAAAACTAGAGGATCACACCTTATGGTAGAGCTGTTTACGTGGTCTAATCGAAAGAAGGTAAAACCAAATGATGGTAAGAGTTTAGTGGCGCATCGTTGCAATTCGTCTTATATTATATAATAAACGTGTGTGTGTGTGTGTGTGTGTATTACACATGGTTAAAGCGTACGTTCATGTTCTTTATAAAATGATTTATTTGACGCATCGACTCGACGAAGTTACTTTTCACAGGTAGTATATGTAAATCAAGTATTTAACTTTATTTATAATCAATAGTTCTTATTACTAGCATTTTTTATCATACATTTTGACTAACAATCGCAATATAATGTTCCATGTTATAAGGTATACGAATAGTTTAAACAGAAACTACACGGCATTTCCACTCATCCGTCTTTTGTTGTTCTTAAAAATGTAACCGATATATAAAAGACAAAATAGTGTCTCCTTCAAAGTTAAAACAATTTTATCCCAACTGAATTTGACTTTATTCGTAACAAAATTTGAACACGAGACGTTATCCGTCACACCCGTTCTCCCAATGGATGCCCATTGACATGATTCAAGAACAGAAATTGTAGATTAACATTCAAATAACAGTTGATTTTTCTTCTTAGAATTCTAGTACTAACTGCGGCACCTACAGAGTAGTTAATAGTAAATTGACGCTACTTTTATAATAACATGACTAATGAGCTGGTTCCAATAACTTTTTATCAACGATCATGAATGTAACAATGCATTCATCTGTCATTGTACCATGGCCCTGCTGCCACCAATAGTTTCTTTAGAAATGATATCTTTTATTACCAACTGGAGAGAAAATATTTTAAAAACTCGATACACAATTCCTTTCAGATTCTTTCTGTGTCGAAGCAAAGTGGAAGAAAATGGAAGAAAACGGAAGAAAATGGAAGAAAACGAAAGAATGTGGAACAAGGTTTTACGATGTAATGTAAGCGACGAGACACTAACAAATAATAAACTGCTCTTGTCGAATGCAATACAAATACTCGTACTTTTCGCAAGCCTCCCATTGATTTAAAAGATTTTTGTAAGCTATTTCCAATCGGTGAAAATTTGTCAAAGATATGTATCCATGTATTTGCGTCGAGGCCAACAAGTTCCTAGCTACGTTCGCAACTAGATCGATCGATGGCAACTAGAATGGGAAAATGACAGCGATGTCTAAATGGCACAAAACAGTGATCTCAAATATGTGCTAATAAAATAGACTATCGAAAACGCGTACAAAAAAAGAAAAAAAGAAAACGATCGACTTACATTCTATGATAATAAACGTCTATTAATTTGTTTTATAGAAATCGTTGTACCGTTTGATTCTTTTCGGTACCTCGCGTTTCGCTTTGAGTTTAGCAACATTTGTGTAGTACGTTCGAGCTGATACTAATGATTATTTCGTCGATTAGTAGAAGAGTAACGCGATGGGTAATACCGTTAGCCTTTGTTGTCACGAAGTACGATTAATTGAGCCTTCGAGAAATCAAGTCCGTCACACCATGCGAATTCATGGTAAATTCATTGAAATTTGTAAGCCAACTGAACCGTCGCGGTTCATAGAAATCGCTTGTTTTTTGCTGTTTCGAATTATTTACACAAACGATAATTGGTATTCCAGCTTTTCTATGCAGTCGTAAATTATCAGTCAAAGAAATTCTGCGGCTGACGTAAAATCGAGAACCGCGAGCGATCAAATATTAAATGGTTCTCAGAAAACTTTGCTTAACATCGATGCACCATGGAAGGGATCATGTTTGGCAGCAGCATGTTATATGCTGTTATGCAGTACACAGTGAACGTTACTCGGGCCGCGCACGATCAAGCAAACAATGCCATTTTATCCCACGTAATTTTGCATCCCGTGCTCGCGTTGCTCTTAAGAAGACTGGACGCGGGCAGAGAAAAACTAGGACTCTGAGAAAAAACTACTAAGTATCGTCGTAGGCGTGTTAAAACGAGCTCAACTCTCTGCAACTACCGGTTCTAACGTAGCGTTGTTCTCCTCCAACTTCTTCGATTCAACTTGCTGCACCGCTTCGATCTTCTCCATTTTCTTGTTCTCCTTCTCCTCTTTCTTGTTCTCTTTGTCTTCCTTTTTGCCCTCTTTCTCGTTCTTCTTATTCTCTTTCTCTTCCTTCTTGTACTCTTTCTCGTTTTTCTTGTTCTCGTTCTGAATAGCTTTCGTCTCCCCGTCGGGGGTCTGTTCCTTCTGCCTTTTCTCAATCTCCGCTTTAAAATTTTCGATATCCTGCTGGCTGATTTGAACAAATAGGATGCCGTTGATCACGTTCAGCATATCGAGTACCGAGCCCATGCTGGGCGGCTGCACCTGAATCGGCGGTAAACTAACACCCGACTTTCCCGTATAAATTTCATTCATCTTTTTCTGCAAAACAACCGCCTGCTGCGTCAGGTGCCTCAAGCAGTCGCTGCTCTCTTTGGTTTTCTCGTGATCCTCGCCCAACTGTTGTTTGTATATGGCGTAAGTCTCTTTCTCGTTGTTCAGAGCAGCGCGAAAATCGCCCATGCACGACTGAGTTCTCGCGACCAAATGATACGACACAGCGACTTTCAGGGACCGTGGACCATGGTACCGAAGATTCAATGCCAACGCGTGCTCCAAAAAGCGAAGCGACAGTTCGTATTCTCCGACAGCATGGAGTATCAACGAGATATTGCTCTAAACCAACGATCAAAAATAACACGATGTAACGAAATAAAGCTTCGGAGGTCTCATTCGGTATTAGAAATTTTCTAAGCTTACTTACATCGAGCAGCGCTACTTCGGGATGATCTTCGCTGCAAACTAATAAGGCTAGGTAACGTGCTCTGTACAGTAACCTCAGCGAAACAGAAACTTGACCGTTCGCGAAAGAGTACAGTGCAAGATGGATCTTTAAACAAAAAAATACATCGAAAAATGTGTTGAATATCAAGTTATGCTTGTACGATCGATATCGTTATTGACACAATCAAAGTAATCGAAACAATCTAAAAAAAAAAAAAAAAGAAAACAAGCGTAGAATGGATTACTCTCTGTGCCATTGAGCATCGAGAATCTGACAAGGAGAACCAAATTCAAATTCCCGACTGCAACACTTACGTATTCGGTGATGGTGTACGGATGATCGATTCCATTAACTCTTTCCGACATTAGTACTGCTTTCTGTTGAGTAGCAAGAGCTTCTCCATGGTCACCCATTATGTAGTTCAGTCGAGCGAGCATTCTCAGACACTGTGCAATTTCTGGATGCATGGCTCCGTACACGTTATTTAGGAGATTCAGTGCCTCGCTGATCAATTCGTAACCATCTTTCAAGTATCCTTGTTGGATCTTGCTTTGACCAGTCGTATAAAAATTGTACGCGTCGCTAGCCTGGAAAAGAATCGATTTAAATATCCATGTCATTGTTTTCTAATTAAAATCTATCGCTTACCCTAGGATTGATATGCTTCACAACAGGGAATATATTAAGTATATCTTCTTCGAAGAACGTGGCTCTGTTTTTGTTCTCAAAGTTATATTCGCGCAATAATATTTGTATACCAGTCTTTATGCAAAAGCCGCGAAGCAACGATATCTTCTGAAGGTGAAAATGATCTATCGTGGTGTCCAGCGATTCCGGGCACGGTGTTTCCCAGTCGTAGTAGCTTTTCAGATCGGCCTTAATTTGCTGCCAGAGAGATTTAGGCGTCAGGGAAGCCCATTCCACCTCGGACTGTTGGGGACCGTTGTTTCTACCTTTCCTTTTATTGCGCCGCTTTGCGGTCTTACTTTGAAGCTAGAACCGGAAATTATATAAATTTTCACCTAGAAAATTATTTTCTTTGCCCGGGACTTTGCTTATCGCCTATGCAAGCGGATTAAACGAATAAATCCGACACGGTGTTTCGCGATTAATATCACAACGTACCTCTTCGAGATTTTGCTGCGGATGAATGATTTGTGCAGAGGACAATAAACAGTTCAAGAAGTGGCTAATCGAGGCCGAAAGACTCATTAATTCTGTACCCTGAAAGATAAACGAATAAATGATTTTGCAGCAGCGACTTCCGATTATCCGACTTCCGATTATTCGGTGGTATTGCACGTGCTGGTAAAACGTTCGAACTATCGAGCATCGTGATTGCGATCGACGGAGTAAGAGAGACTCGGTGATAGCAATAGCGTGGCGTTATTTTCGTTTTTTATCAATCTCCCGAACATTTCTGTGCGCGTGGAAATATTCTTTTATACCGGATAATCGGAACTCTACCGTATGTACATATTTTCAAACGGTATACCTGCATGTAAAATGTAAAAATGTGTTTAGCAGAGCGCAAAAGCAGTTCCGAAACAGCAATACGGTTAAGATACTGCAGCTGTGGTACCGCAGCTAACATGGCAGCTAGTTTACCGAGGTAACGCACATTTATACCTCTGCCATGTAAAGCCTCCACCAGGGTATTCCCATCCATTGCTGCAGCCGTATGATCCAAACATTCTCGAATCTGAGGCAGGTATACAATTTTTTTAAATAGATCCAATAGTACAGTGCGGAAACGTGTAACCGAGATAAACGCGTTCGAAGGTATAGCTTACAAATGTAGGAATCTGTACAGTCAATAAAAAGTCAGCGGCGTCCTGCACCAACTGCTTCTGTTTCTTTAACCCAGGACCATTCGAATCCGGGTGTTTCACGCCCGGAGAAAATACGTCCGGATTAAATCTGACGTCGAACTCGGCTTCTCGCAAGCTACCAACCGTTGCCGCCGCTCTGCGTACTATTTCTTTCGTGCTTTCTTCCACTACGAACGAATCGTTCGACATAGAAATGTAATCATTTTCAAAACGAGAGTTTGTACGCACAGGCCTCTATCGAGGCCTTCTCTTCTAAATATACGTATCATGAAATTACTCACATTCTTGCTTCTCTCCTCCAGTAATGGAGTCGGTAATACTTTCCACAATTTTTTTGGCTTCGTCCGCTTCCATAAGCGATTGGGTCGAATCCTCTTTGTTGCTATCCACTGTAACGGCATTCGACTCCTCTTTCTTATCCTCCTGAAAACCAATGATAAATTTCAACGGTACATTCGTTGGGGTGCGATTTCAAAACACACAATACGGTACCTTAGCAACGGGTTCCTTCTCTTTTTGCACCCTTCTAGCAGATGTGAGTTGTTGAAGGTGAACGGCGGCATGTTTAATGAATTGAACGTATCTGGCCTCCACGAAAGAGTCGATTAATTCCTGACGAAGGCAAGCCAATCTATGCTTATGTTCAATTGGGAAACCCAGTGCTCTAGCTTCTTTGCTCAGCTCCACGCATTCCACTAAAATAAGAGATATAACAGAGATGATGGTAGAAAGCGATGACACACGTGTATCTTACTACTCTCTGTATTGACCTACATTTCAAAAAATTAACATCGGGAGGGAACGTTCTCAATAAATCCAGCACGTAGTGTCGAGAATCGTTCCCGATGATACCCTTGCATTCTACGCTACTGCAAAGTTCGACTTCCTCTCCAGCGTCGTTGACAACTTTGTGGGGAAGAATTTTCAATTGATGACCGGCTTTGTTTAACTGGAAAATACGATGATGCATAGAATAAGAGAATTCATATACTACGCGTAAAGAGGAATTTCATCTCGACTATCTTACCAACTCGAGGTACTTGGGATGAGTGAGAACCGTTTTTCCAAAATCTATAGAACCATAAACTACCGACTGCTCTTGTTCGCGTTCCAAAATTCCTGGGATGATAGATTGTGCGGTGACACGATACCCTCTGTGCAGCGAAATAGAAGCGATTATCACCATGAAAATCAAGAAGACGAAGAAACTATAGAGAAATAATTCGTATTGACAAACCTATAGTCGATCACAACCGTGCCGAGTGTGTAAAGGCCGGGCAAATCAACTGCTGCGTACACCCTGACACCTTGTAAATCATTGCGAGGTGCAACAAAAGCGGCAGCATCACCGCCCAGCTCTTTATAATGATCCCTTACATCGAATCCAAGAGAGAAGAATATATTATTCCATATGAACATCTGCATTTTCGCCTCCTCTCCAGGATTTATCGCCATTACGTTACCATCTATCACAGCTACCGCGCCGCGAGTCGCAGCGGCGACGAAATCACTGTGAACCTAAATCATTGGTCAATTACGGTTTTCTGAATGTGCTTACGCGATAAGATCCTTGAGGATCTTGTATACACTCGACAGCAAAATTAAAGCTTTGGTAAGTTTTCGGTGAAAATATCGTAACGACTTAATTCTGCTCTGCTGCGAACGGTATGCTCGAAAAGAATTTTTGCAACTCCATAAGAGGGCGTTAAACTTTACATTTTTTTTTTTTTTCGGTATCATGAACATGCCTTCGGATTTTTACAGTCGTGAGGATGCACGACATTAAAGATTAGGATACGGTATCATAAAGTAGAGACTCAAAGCTTTAATTTAAAGAAAATCATGATTTTATGATAGCTTTTAATGGAGTAGCGCGCAGCTTGTCAAAGATCGATGATTATTCGGCCTATCGAGAGTATACACAAATATACACATATATATATATATATACATATATATATATATATGAAGATTATCATACTTTGAAAATAGCACGTTCTCTAAGCAACCTTTCGGGTAAGTTTTTGCGGGGTAACTCTCTCGTCGTCTGCAGCTCTTCGTTCCAGTCTCTAGTTTGTCCGGGGATGTGTTCTTCGTAGCCCAACTTGGAAGAGAAAGCTACGGAAGACAAATATTTTGAAAAATCAAGATATCATGTGATTCGATATCAATGATATAGTATAGTTAAAACGAAACGTACTGTCCTCGGCGCGTATTGCATCGATTGTATGTTCTATTTGCGGCGCGCTCCATGCGTACAGCTGATAAGGCGTGGCAACTCTTTCAAACGGATGCCTTTGCGTTCTCCTTCTTTGCATGGAAGCAAAACCCCGTTTAAATGCCGGACTAAGTTGGTTCAGTAGTTCAATTAAGCTGTGACACAAATGGCTTGGGGTCGCTGGTTTTGGATTAAACATTTCTTTTGTCGACTGATTAACAAAGAATCCCCTTGCACAGGCAGTCAGATAATACTGCTTGTCTTCTAGCGTTACCACATGTAAATATAACAAATCACCGTGAAGCTTTCTATGACCCGGTGGAGGGTTCCACCCGGACGTTGTTAGAACCTGAAAGATATTATTGAAACAGTTGTATCGAAATGTCAGCGATCTGTCGAATAGATATATATTTCTTGGATACTCGTGCATACTTTCAAACACGGAGGACACTTTTGTTCTTTGGCTTGCGGTTGAAGGGGTAACAAAGGCCTGTCTTTACAACCGGGTATAATGTAATCTGGTGGAGTACAGTCAACCGAGTCTGCCCTGCTCTTCTTTTTCTCAAGGATGTCACCGTTAGTAACGACGTTCAGGAACGACAAGCTGCTACATTCGACGCCGTTATAAGCGTCTGCAGGGTCTACAGACTTCAATAAATCTCGAACATGTCGGACATGTATACGGGCTTCTCGCATCGTGTACGGCTCCTCCACTACTTTAATTATCGAACCTTCTTTCAACCCTTCGATGTTCTTCAACTCGGCGAAATTGTCCAATGTATTGCCGTCCAGTTGAAGAGAGAAACAGGTGCGATGGCAAGTATCCTCTCTGTCCATGAGTAACTGATGGATTTCCTAAAGGATTAACAAACTATTTATTTCTATACCAACGTATAGCAAGTCGGAAGGGGTCGCTTAAAAAACTATTACCTGAACCAATTCCATGCTGGATACCTGAATGTCGAACGGTTCCGCACCAGGGCTGACAATTTTAACGGTAAATCCCATGTCTTGAATGAAAACAACTTCTTGCTCGTTCCCAGCATCTTTCTCTTTGTCGCCATCCGCTACTTTCTCACTTTTATCATTCTTCTTGTCTTTTTCACTTTCATTCTCCTTCTCCTTTTCCTTCTCTTTTGCTTTCTCGTTTCCTTCTTCTTTCGTCGCTTCTACTTCACCTTTTTCTACCACAGTTTTCGTAGTCATGCTCGTACTTCCAGGCTCTTCTATGTTCTGCTTCAAATCTACAAACAATTTGTGAATCGACGCTTTAGTTCTTGAATAGCTTTCACCTTGAACAGGAAACAAAAATCATTATACTAACACGTATCGCAATGTCAATGGTAAAAATAAGTATATTAATAATGCCACTTAAATTGAACGTGTACTACCCAATTACATCATTTCGTATAATAACATTAAATGAATCGAGAAATTCGATTTAGAGAACGTTTCGCGAAAATATGTTTTATTTGAATTTTTGTCTTTTGCTGTATGTATAACATTTATTGAAATGAATCACGACAAAGTAGACGAATGTCAATATTTTGTAATGGATGGGGTCTAATCATCTTTCCTAGGACTCGTCTATCATGACGAGGGATATAAATAAGTGATGTGAGATATGCTCCTGGAAATGAGGGTGCATTTTCGAATAGATACGGTGGTGGGCATTCGTGGGGCTACCACTTGCATTCACCAATGCACTTATAAATAAACGGCAATGTAAATAGTCCGTACTCAAATGCCGTACTATTTTTATCGATACCATGTTTGCGTTATACATCCATTTCAGGTGTTCGCAGGATTTTGTGAATAACATTATTAGTTACGATCGCGAGTGGACGGCCCATTATTATTTACTCATTCGTGATTCTTTGTCACTACGATCGAAAGGGGTTCCAAAATTACCGGCGGTCTATCTATATGATAACACTTTGATTTTTCTATATTCTCCATTTTTTACGTTGCAATACATCCATCAGCATACAATTATTTTCAATTAACGGCAACAACGTTTCTTCGTTTTTACGAAGTAATATAGTAGAATTTGTAAATATTAGAATCAAGAAATGATATTTTGTTTTGTGGCCACCTGGTGGCGAATATGTACAAAGTTAAATGGATAAATACATTTCATATACAGATTAAAACGATACGAATATATGTTTCGAAAAAAATACTTCATTTATTATCAATTTTCATTCAATTAGATTTCCGTACATTTTGGTACAATATAATCGATTGTTCGTTATTCGGTATTTCGCTTGTTCGAATACTTATACATCGTTAAAATGTATGTAAAATGAAAATTTATATACTATTGCGTGAAACCGATATAGACATTGTATCGATAGGCCAACAAGTATTTAATAGGGAATAGTAACTAATAGAGATCCTGGTTTAAACTGAAATACGAGAAGTTGTTCCTTTACATTTAAATCTTGACACTGAAATTAAACGTATATTTTATCGAATAGTTCAATTTCATCGTTATAAAAAAAGAAAATTTCTTATCATAGGAAAGGATCCTCCGATTGCGTCGGAACGATGCATATTTATGTTTGATGTTTCGTATTCGTATAATTTTATCTTTCGAACCTATCGCTTTATCGTGTCGTTATCGCATAACCGTTTCACCATTTCATTTCAAATCTGTTCTCCATTTTCGACGATCTTCTTATCGTGGGACGAGAGATAAGAAAAAGAAGTCGAGAAGGAAATTTGCCGATAAGATCGCGTAGTAAAAAAGACAAATAAGAAAATTTTTGGACCGTATATACAAGTTAACGCTAATTTGTTTCGAATTACGAACTAGCAGGTATTAACAAGCTCAACCAATTAAATATTATATTTCCATCACGTGGTGGTACACAGATAATTTCTATAGTCACAGCGGGCTCACCACCGTCCAATGCCGCATCCCTAAAGTCGTAACCGCTAGTTAGCTCTATTAGCTCGCCGGCTGTGTTGGCTTGGTTAATGGAAAGTACCTACGGATAACTCTGAGATCTCTATTAATGCTTCTACTCCTACTGTGGGGGTTAGAGATGGATTCTGTGTTATTGCAACTACACGTATCGTTGTAGACGTTATACTCGTTCTATCACAGATAATACTCCGTATTGCAGGGGACTTGGCCTAAATCGGGTGGTAGGAACTTATCGTCGTTTAGCAGGTTACGCATGCTGCTCGCTGTAACTACATCTCACCCCAACCACATCTACTCCTTCTTGTCCTCCTTTGCCTAGTTTCATGCTGCGCAACAAGTTACACTCCTCCAGAGTACAGGATCGACATACCGGCCCACGATCTAAGATCTCTCCCCTCGGCAAGCAGGATACTAGCAAATTCATCGGTCGTTCGATACTTGGTTATCGGTGTCCCTACCATTGGCTATACGTTATGTCTCCGAAATGTCAATAGGTACGGGTGCGTCGAGCTCGGAAACAGACAGTAGCCTAATAGGTAGACGTATCTTTACCCTGCCCGTCGAACCTAACCGTGGGTGTCTAGCTCTCCACCGATGACCGAGTACGGCGACTTTGGGCGAGGAGATATCGTCGCTTTAGGCAATTCTGCTTGCTACGCATCCATTTCTAGCTCTTCTCGGTTTTCAACGTCAAGCTTGGACACAGTGTATCCATCGGTTTGCACTTTTAGTCAGCAATATACGCGCTAGACCCTCGACTAATCCTGTAGAGAATTTGGAAGCGTGGTTAACGTCCTAGTTGTCGAGGGAGACTAACTCCATGGGGTGCAGCGTGCAGCTTGTCTCGATCAGGATGATTGAACATCGACAATAGCGTTGATAGTGTGTTGCGTTGAGTACGATTCTTTTGATTATTTTGGTCGATCACACTCGTGAGACAATAAACAAATCTTGTCCAAGTGACAAATGCGAAAATCTTTTCATTTTTAGCGTCCCTACAATCATAATAAACCTATAATGTACTAAGTATTTGATGTAATTTCATGAAGTTTTTATTTTAATTTTTATATTCACTTTTACATCTCGGTTTCATTCGGTGGTCAACATAACCTACTGAAACGATGTCACAATGAAGGAACGTTGCAAAGAACATATTCGAGATAATTAACAATATAAAAGAAAGATCCTATCAATTGTTCTTTATTCGAAAGCAATTGTGTAGGTACTGTCATGCTTGGATTGTATAAAAGTATATTTTTCTTTTTTCTTTTTTTTTACCAGTTGAATAAGGTTATGTACGGTAAGAGTAGCGCAATCTCGCAGATGACGCGCGAAATAATGCAATGCATTTGAATACATGTCGGGAAAATTTTGAAGTTTAAATCGAGGAACAAATATCTCTCTCTCGAATTCGATACCGGTGATTCAGTTCACAAATGTGATTCTGAACCTACTTTGAATATTATTCATAATATACTATACATACGACTATGTGCAAGATAGTTGATACATAAAGGAATAATTAAATCTGTAATCATACCGAACCTGCTAGATTTATTTGAGCGATACCAAACTAAAAAAATGCATGTCTGTTGAGGGAGACCATCTTTTAAAAGTCTTCAGTATGTACATACATATTTAGGAATGTATAGTTATGCATTGTTCGTATTAAAGACGACTAGGATGATTTGATATACATCCATACATACGTGCGGGAAATCGTAACTGCGTTTCAAAATCACGTAAAATTGTAATACCAAAATCGAAAGCGCAAGGAAACACACACAACACACATTCGTTATGAATAAAATTTGAATAAAGAAAATCGATAGTGAATTTCACTGCTCCGAAATTTACGCACGTGGGGTCATTAGCGTACGCGTGCACGTGTCTTCCTCAGACTCGGTGTTTTTTCAGGGTTAGAGAACACTAAAGATGAAGAAATTAAAGAAAAGGGACTCGAGTCGATCGACATTGACCGATAATGTTAACGTTTTTTGGAATCATTGACTCCAAATTTTTAAATGAACGTGTTATCCCTCCGGCCGGCCGACCGTTAGACACCGGAAAACGAACCAAACGTCTGGCTTTTGGTTAGAAATCGAAATTCATGTTGTGACTATCGCAGCAGATTTAAAATAGCAGAAACTATTACGCGGAAAATAATTTTCCTAAATCTTATGAGATTCGGTTTACATTTTCATCGTGATTCTTCAAATTCGAACATCTTATGTCGTTCGTGCGGGGTAGAAGGATAACACGAGTGAACACACATTTTATGTGTCGCGTCGAAATGAAATGATTACCGACGATAACAAGAATAATCTATCGAACGACGAGAACAAAAACGAAGATCCGTAAACAAACCATAAAGAGAAGAAGAAAGCACGCTGCAGTCGGAATTTATATGGAAAGCGATAACAATGAAACGAACATTGGTATCGCCGTGTTTTAAAATCGAAAGATGAATGTACCAAGAGAAATTAGCATAGAAAAGGGCAGGTACACGGTTTGATTCTTCTCCCGAATCAGGCGCTCCAAAGGAACAGATTCGTATGTAAGTAAAATTTGTAATTTGTGCCGATCTCGTGATCGTGATAACGATTGAACGCGTCACGCGGAGCAAAGCGATGGTTAGAATATTGTAGGGAAAGATCGGGCATCGATTCTATGCGTCTTTAGACTTTAGAAAATGAAGTATGTCAACCGATGGACTCGTGCATTCTTGTGTAACCACTTGCAAAACGTGCGGCAACAATATTGCGAAATCAAGTCAGTTGTTAATAGTAGGTAGGTAATTGCGCGAGACTGTGAAAATTCGTCTGCTAGCACAGGCTCGCGTCTTCTGCTAGGTTCCCACCTCTGAAACTCGTGGTTCGCTTATGACCCCACGATACATACTAAGAGAGATTCGCGCAATTCGCGTGTTACATAACACACCGAAGGCCCGGCTTTTTGGCTGAGGCGGCATTGTTAAGGCACGCGTTAAAGTGAACGGAACACGGTAACCTGACGACACCCGAGTCATTACATAATATTAACAACGGCGACGTTTAACCTCGAAAAAGGAATCGAACCAAAGGGTGTAGGATTGAAAATTTACCGTGTACTAACCAGTAGCTGTTCGATCCTCGTCACCGTTCAGCAGTGAGATTTTGGTGCTCCCGTTTTCCGCGGAGGCCTCGATTTGTGCGCCCAGTGTCATCTTTCTTTGACGATTCTTCCCGAATTTTTACGCGACTATCAACTCACCCGGCACTGGCACGTTCTGTTCCGATCCTCGCAGTAACACGCACACACACTTTTCGGAAAGTCGCTCCGAACTGAAACGACGTTCGTCTCTTTTCGCGAGGCAGCACACCACGGCACACTAACACCGGAACACACTACCGAGCCGCTTTTCTCTACTGCACGTGCATTTCGAACGAAGTACAAAGTCTAGTGTGCACGATTGGTCTCTCGACTATATCGCTTATCAAATCGACTTCGCTGATTGGACTTCTCTGTCACGTGATCCACCCCTAATTTCCTTAACCTCCATTCTTATTCGCTGTTGCCGGTGTAACCGCACCGCGTGCTCTACATTCTGAACTTGAATCTTATCGAACTGTTCCGTTGATTGGCAGCAGTTGTTCAAAATGGTGGCACATACGGAACTAGAACGGAACGTTATTAAAGTCACTAGATAACGAACTTCTAACCTTATGTGCTATTCATTTAAATAGGTAATAGTTCGGGATGCATAATTTGATATATGTAGCGCAGTAATTTTCAAATATTTATAAGAAAGATAATAATACTCTGGACGAATTAAAGAGATGTTTACGTTCGCTTAAACCAGACATTTTTCAGTTTCAGAGTCAGGTTAGAGCTTCTAAGAATGTCGGCAGAAGAACAATCAGACTTACGCTTAGGACCCGATCCTAATGTCACTTATCCGATTCAAGTACAATATTGTGGCAACTGTTCCCTTCCCATCGAGGTAAAATTTTCTTAGTTCGAAACTATAGATAGTTGCAATTTATATTGCATGACACGCTAAAAATATAAAGATATATATTTCAAAATGAATCTCTCTACCTTTGTGCTACAGTACTGTGAATATTATCCAGAATATGAAAAGTGCAAGCAATGGCTGGAAAGAAACTTGCCGACAGAATTTGAGAAAGTAAAGCTAGGTAATTATAACAATTGTACTAGTAAATGATCTTCGATAACCTTTCTTGTTATCTGATAATCACTTGCACGCTATTAAGTCGAAGACAATACTACCGAAGCGGGTGGAGGTGAAGATGAAAAGAAACGACAGAAACGCGGAGGCAAAGGCATGCTCAAGACTAAAAAGAAAGAAGACGTTCCTAAATTAGTGACCGTATCGAGAGCACCTAGAGGAAAGAAGAAATCTGTCACCGTTGTGACTGGACTTAGTACTTTTGGTAATATCCAGAAATATTTCTAATGAAATTTCTTCTACTTCCTTTTCTTCTAACTTTGCTATGTATTCGTAGACATCGATCTGAAGGTGGCTGCGAAGTTTTTTGGTAGTAAATTTGCATGCGGATCCAGTGTAACAGGAGACGACGAAATAGTTATACAGGGAGACGTGAAAAATGGTCTGTTCGATGTGATTACAGAAAAGTGGCCGCAAGTAATAAACTCGACTATTACCATCTACGTATACAACCGCAACTATAAAATCTGTACACAGCCGATAATATTTAATATATTTTCAGATCGATGAAGATTCTATCGATGACCTTGGCGATCAAAAAAGATAATAGGTCAATAAAAACACTTACATGCACAATTGTATTTAATATCATACTATTTCCATGTTTATTATGAATAAAATGTACATAACATATATAAAATATTTTTAAAAAACTTATAAAAACAAAATAGTTAAAACGTGTTATCCATCTTTCTCGACTTGCTCTCCTTCGCCTAGATAATTTGCTACCACTTGAAGCAAAGCTTCAACTTCATCGTCGGACAAACGATCTTCGCTGTCTTCCACAATCTACAAAATTGCTTATGTATAGGCAACAATTATGTACACCGTATCGATAGTAATTTTAAAAAAACCTGTGTTACCAGTTGAATTTCAAGAGGTGTTTTCGGACACACGTTTAAAAGAGTTAACTTTTCGCATTTAGTCAATTTGAAAGATTCCACAGCTTTAAGAAAATCTTGAATCTTTTTCGGAGATTGTCTCTTACAAGAGGTTTCTTCCAAATATCGTATAGTTTGGTAAGTTATAGTTGCCAATTGATTTTGTTTCATCTTCTGTTTCTTATTTGCTTTTATATTTTGCAACATATCTAGAACTTCATAGTTGCTTAAGTACGCTGAACATTCCTTGAGTCTGAAATGAGATACTTTGATGTTCTTGTATCTTATAGAATAAGTAGAAACGAAAGTCCTAATTTTTTACTTACACTTCCATGCTGAATATATAAATTGAACTTACTAAACCATGCTTCCTTATAGATTCAAAAAAGAATGCATTACAATGTTCGAGGTTATGTATTTAAATGATCCATGTACAACTCCTTCGGTATAGAATATGTATGCGTATATGTACATACATATATGTACAAAAATTGATCAGTAAATTTTTAGTTGTGACATTGTACAATGATATTTGCAATAAAATATATTTTTATCGTCACACGTTTCACAATAAAATAGTAATGGATTTATAAATCTATAACAATATAGATGGTGCACCGTCGGTAAAATAAATGGCATACGAAGCGCAGAATTTAAATTTCGCGCCTATACAATGGTCACTGACGGCCACTAAATTTTGTTATATGTATTAATCGAAATATGTAATTCTACAAGAACAAAACAATATACATAAGTAATCATTTGTATTGTAACAATTTTGCATCGATCGTGTATCAATCGAACATTTAAATCGATTTGACAACGTAGTCCAAAACGTGTTTATATAATTTAAGCGTGAACATTGATATGCCGAAAATAAAAATAAAGATTAAACGAATAATTTAATTGTTATGAATCGTGTGATTCAAAGATAATCAATAAAACCGTGTCATCTTAGCTTTAAGTAACAATAGATGAATTTGATTTATGTTGATTTATGTTGATTTATGTCTCGTAGAGTTTTGAAATCGATTGAGAAGCCGTTGAAACGTATAGACATATGGATTCATTATATGTTATCACATTTACAAAGTATCTAGTGAATTGATGGTACCTAAATAAGTGATAATTGAACTATTTAGCTTTGTGCGTACGAATTTACTTGTGTATACTATTCGCTCGTCAGTTTCCAGCAGTTTTCAGCTAACCGCAATTATATGTATGTTACATTATTGTATGCGTATGCACATCTTGCAGGGCTGATCATTCCAAAGTAACCCTCTTAAAAAAATTCTTCATTGAACTATGTATTTACATGGTACACATGTGTGTATACATGCCATCGTAACATACATATTGTATACTCGAATTAAACTGACGTTCCTTTTAAATGTTTTAAATATAATATTGTTTTTCGATTGTTTTAATTCAAGTTTTACGATAAATTTGACGCGATTACCGTAAAAATCATGTTAAGAAGCCACAGTTTTAACACTTTGACTGCCACATCGACAACCTAAAAAATTTCATAAAATCAAAGTATATTATTTGATCGAATTCAAATTGAAATGTTGTGTCGTACGTTGTCAATTACATTTTCAACATTCTTACGATTGGATCCCGGTAAAACAAAATTTGGTCAATGATTTTATACAATTATACATATGTTTATACGATCATCCAAAAGTGCTCGGGTCACTATTGAAAATCTATGCATATATGGACACGTATAATTGTACAATGTACATATGTATAATGTACTTGAAGAATCCTTAGAGTCTAATATTTAGATTAAAATACAAGCATAAAGGGTTCCGCTTAAGTCAGCGGTGGTGTGTAATGCAGCTGCATTGTATACGACGTATTATAAGTCAAGACCTCCGAAATGAAAAATTGCGATCAAATTCGCAGTCGTTTGTAATGTCGGTAATCTTTTTTTCATTGTGTAAAAATATGTACATATATGGAAACATGTTACGGGTCTCGAATCCGATCGTCACGTACCTGTTGGTGTTAACACGAAACACGACCTCTATGCGCGATCGTCTGACATTTTGCGACGGCAATTGTACGACACAGTAGGTGCTCCGCTGTGTTTTGTATTTTCGAGCATACTTTGTTGTCAGTGTAGTGATACGGGTCGATGATTAACGTGAATTTACGAGGTCGAATAAAATGTAGACCAATATAGTTTTTTCGATTGAAAACATCCGGGAGAGAGAGGAGAAAAGGAAAGAATAGAATAGAAGAGAAAAGGATCGAAGAGACTGAGTCGGGGCAGGCTGCACATGAGAGAGCACATCGTACAGGCCGCGACTTTTCTCACAACGCTTATCGATCTCTCCGCAGGCGATGCATCTCCTTTGCCAGTTCTTTTATGTTTGTAAACGATTGAGTGCGATTGTCAAAGGTCGGTGAAACCTTCTCGATCGCCGAGTAATCAGGATCAAGAATGGAAATCGTCGGCGACTACGAGTACAACACGAAAGATCTGATAGGCCACGGCGCATTCGCTGTAGTCTTCAGAGGTAGACATCGTAAAGTAAGTGTTTGATTTATTTTAGTCTGAAAATGTGATCTCCGATGGAAACGATTAGAACGATTCGGCATCGGTGAACGGGTCTTTTGTTTTTACAGAAACCAAATTTCGTTGTGGCAATTAAAAGTATCACTAAAAAGAGTCTAGCGAAGTCGCAGAATCTTCTTGGGAAAGAGATCAAGATTTTAAAGGTACATCGATGCTGTAGTTAATTTCTTTCGAGCATGTTAAGGTTTATAAATTAATTTTTTATTTGTACTTCAATTACGAATGAACTCGTGCTTGTGCTACCGTCATTATTTTTATTCAAATTCAGCTATAAACAATATTGTTTCTCTTTAATACATAATGAATTCATTTTAACATTCGCTAATTAAGAGACTTTATTAAACAAGCATAACCTTTTACTACAAGTTCTACGAATTAATTGTTTAAAATCTTCGAGGCCAAAGTTATTCTCCTCTAATAAGAAGTCGTTGTTTTGTTGTTGACTAATACATTACGTTACAGGAACTAACAGAACTGCATCATGAAAATGTTGTTGCGTTATTGGACTGTAAGGTTAGTATTTTATGTTTTTCGCTGAATACCAAATAATTCAGTTTATCTACTTACACAAATTATATATCGATGTTTCCGTTCTAATGTAATCACAAATTATTTAGGAATCTAATCATTATGTCTTCCTGGTTATGGAATATTGTAACGGAGGAGACTTAGCGGATTATTTAAGCGGTACGTTTATCAAAAAAGTATCAAAAAACATCTTCTGCGAGCAGAAGTTTGTCCTATATCCGTTGTATTATATTTCAAATTTATTATGTTCATACTAGCGAAAGGCACTCTCTCCGAAGACACTATCAGAGTGTTTTTAAAGCAATTAGCAGGCGCGATGAAAGCGTTGCATGCCAAAGGCGTAGTCCACAGAGATCTGAAGCCACAAAACATTTTGCTCAGTCACAATTGTGGTAAAGCTTGTCCTCAGCCACATCAAATAACTTTAAAGATTGGTAAGGAACGATCCAATCGATTCACAGACAAAATGCAAGCATCATTAATTTTTAGAATATATTCTACGTTTCAGCGGATTTTGGTTTCGCTAGGTTTTTACAAGACGGTGTAATGGCGGCGACGTTATGTGGATCGCCGATGTACATGGCTCCCGAAGTCATAATGTCGCTTCAGTACGACGCGAAAGCAGATCTTTGGTCTTTAGGAACAATCGTCTTTCAGTGTCTTACTGGAAAAGCACCGTTTCAAGCTCATACTCCTCAAGCTTTAAAATTATTTTATGAGAAAAATGCGAATCTTGGTCCTAAGTATGTTATAATAACTAAAATATATTATCGTATGCGGCAAAAGTTTGTTCTATTTATTTAATTCGTACGATGTATATTATTTATTTTAATGCGCTGTTTTAGAATTCCACCCGGTACCTCGCCTGAATTGTCAGATTTATTGATGGGTCTACTGAGGCGTAACGCCAGGGATCGTATGCCCTTCGACGAATTTTTTGGACATCCTTTTCTTCAAGGATCTAGAGAAAGTCCGAGTCCAGTTCCGGCCGAGCTTCCCGCTTCGCCTGGAACTTTGATAATCCAGGAAGGAGCAGCTGCTGTAACAAGATCGGAACCAGACACAACAAGCCCGTGTTCCAGTCCTGAAGATGACTTTGTACTTGTGCCAAGTGATCTGAGCAGTGACATGGACAATAATCCTAACACGCAACAAGTTAAGTAAGTCATGCGTTCTTGTTCTGTAAAGATTTCAGAATCGTACATCAGCGACATTATTTCACTAACGTTGACTAGGTATATCAAACAAACAAATAGAGAGGCGGTAAGTCCACCAAGGCCCTGTTTCTTACCCATTTTGGAACCCATTCCCGTACCATCTCAAAGAAGTATAGCTCAGCCGTCGTCTCCTTCCACCAATACGAGGTCTGGAAGCAGCGTTGTTCCACGCTCTCAACCAATCAGTATGAAACGTAGCGTGGATTCGCATAGAAGTCATGCTCCCGACATTGGCTCTCTTAGTCCGCCAAGTGTTCAATTTGTAATTGGTACGCCACCCAGCAGAAGGTGTGTAAATGATCTTCTATGCATTCGTTATCTTACTATTTTATTTTAAAATGCATTTATTTTAAATGCATCATCGTGATTATTTTCAGATTAAGTGAAACACCCCCGCCACCAAACACATGGCAAGTTAGCCCTGTTACGAGGTATTCGCATACTTCTAGCGGCACGTCACCGTTGAGACGTTCAACCGGAAACAACAGTGCGTCCTCGCCGCTACTAACAGGACCGTTGGCAGTGTTGGGTTCGCCTACATCGAGAGCTTTTCAGGATAATAACAACACGTTGAGGCATTCACCTGTTATTCCTTTTGGTACAAGAGCTGTCACTCTTCCGGAAATATCTGGTATTTAATCTGTTGCATCTTCTGGTATTGTATTTGTTGACTTTGAGAACATAGTCGGGCGGGGATATAACTGACCTTTTTTATTGAAAATTTAGAGGCTGGTAGTTTTCAAAACCTCCTACCAGAAATAAATCCTACAGCAAAGGATGATCGTCCCTTAACGTTCATCGCTCCCGAACTCCCGGAGGAAACGCTTTTAGAACGGGAACATAGCGAGATATTAGCGAAGTTGAACTTTGTTGTTGCACTATGCGAATGTGTGTGCGAGGTGGCGAGAACGAGAGCAGGTCCTTTAGGCGCACCTCTGGGTGGCATTGAACAAGCAAGCAATGCGGCGACAAGAAGAAGGGCCGAGCAAGTCATTCTACTTGTTCGTGCTCTTCAATGGCTCAGTTCTGGATTAAGTCTCGCAACGCAACAACTTAAAGCTGGCAGACTACAACCGACTGCCAGCGTTAAAAACGGTAATGATACGTTTATTTTGCTTACGATTAGCTGTGTACTCGAAATTCGACGTTTCTAAAACTTCTTCAACGTATTTTAGTTTTGAATACAATGAATGAAAAATTCCGATCGTGCTTAACAGAATGCAAACAATTGAATAGTGCTGGACTTCTTCATCAAACAGGAGCTACAGCAGACAAAATCCTTTATAATCATGCTATACAAATGGTAAATATTATTATTAACGCGATTATTATCGCGAACTCGATATTATTTGTCTCTATATTTTTTCACAGTGTCAGTCGGCAGCACTGGATGAATTATTTGGTAATCCTGCAGAATGTTTCCAACGATATCATACGGCACAAATATTGCTACATTCGTTATCACAGCATGTCAGTCACAGTCAAGATAGAGCTCTTCTTATAAAATGTAAAGTATTTTGGTCGTATGCACGCGTTAATGTGAAACGAAAATAATTAATCCTTTCGGTCTATTTCAGACAAGGATGCTGTTGAAAAACGCTTGTACGTACTCCAACAGCAAGGTTACATTTACGCAACAGATCCTACATAGCGCTTATGAGATATGGAAGCAGGATACAAAGACCCGCCCAAACCCGTACCGTATTCGATACCTCTCTTCTGTAAGATATTCTGCCCTATTCTGTATAAAAGATGTTAATTCATTGATCATACTGCACAGAGGTGGCATTGTAGAAAGAAGAAGCAAAACTAAGATTTAAGCGTAATATAGTGAAGAGTTTGTTAGATCAACACAGAATAGGGTAGATTAACCCATGAAAGAGTACGAAAGTGATTCTTTACAGGTTTCTTTATATGATTTTATTAATGACGCGGATAATGAATTATAATTACATATGTAATGTATATATTATATAATACATATATATATACATATGTATATATATATTTATTGTAATGTACGTATGGTTGATTAACTAACCTTTATTTCATATCAAATAATAAAAATATGTATACTAACGGTATTTTGCATTCAATGCAAGGCACATTATCTTCTTAAACAACAGTGATGCAATAATTATAAAAACGAAAAGTACGAAGCATTGTTTTATAATAAGTAATGTTTCAGATTGGTGCGTTTCACTATGAATCCGTAGCTCAGGATTATTTAGTTTTTCCATCTGTAACAGCTTCTACTTTTGGTTTGTTATCTCTGTAAATGACATAGTTCAATGCAGCGGCGAGAGAAGTCCAAGCGAAATAAGGAATGATCAAACAGCCGGCGAGTTTGTTCACTTGGTAGAAGGAAAATCCCACGGCTAAGGTGCTTCCCCACAATAGAACAATGTCACACAAGGCCTATAAATACAACGGATGCGAGATATTAGAAGAATCAAGATTGAGTTAGTAGTTAGAAGGGTACAATTATTATTTATAACGTACCCATTTCACGTTATGTAGCCCAAAGTATAGCGGAGACCAAGCCCAGTTTAGTAACAAATTTGTTCCATAAATAGAAAGTGGCAGGGTTGCCTTTTCAAAACCACCTCCATCTTTCCATACTAAATAGGAAGAGTAACCCATTGTGCAATATAGAGTTGTCCATACTGGAGCAAACATCCAGTTTGGTGGAGTCCAAGAAGGTTTGTTCAAGGTCTTGATAAGATTTAAGAAAAAAAGTGTATATCTACAAGATGTAGGTACAGAATAATTAATATTCGAATATTAAGTGTTTTGTTTCCCTTTAATCAAAAATGTGGTACAGGTATCCTATCGTTTTAAATACAGTGATAATCACAGTTAAGTACAGTTAAGTCCGTTGTTCGTATAGAAGAGTAAAAGAGTCGAAATTAATTAAGTATCTTTAAATAATGGTTATTATTTTTTCAGAACTATAATTCACATCGTTAAGTTAATGTTTGATCGATTGTTTCAAAAAATTATTCACGTAAGTATACCTATCGCGTATACCGCTCCTCGTATGACTCAATATCACGATCAAGCACGATTGCTCTTAGGTCCGTGCATGTACATACTACATGAATTATAGACCGATACAAAAAGAGACATTGATTTCATGAGATTCATTGCACATAATCATTTATACTTTTGCATCGCTTAGTACTTATATAGCGATAATGCCCAGTTGTAACGATTTGTTCTCAAACTGGAAATTACGCCGAATTTATGTATTATGAAAAACGAAACGATTTTAATTACCTCGTACCATGTCTTCACACTATTGCTTGCGAAGTAAGCACCAGCCCATCCTCCAATATTCGGATGTATAATACCAATTACGATAGGCCAAGACATTTTTACAGGCATATTATCCGTAAGCGCGAATTATTCCACCTTCGTCGCAATCTATTTATCGAATGTCGATAGCAAAGAGTATGAACGAGCAAGTGCTACTTCGAGGCCCTCTATGCTACTTCATGTTACCGCGAACGTTTCTTCGATAGTGTAACCATAAACGAGGTTGTTGGTACAGGTTTACACTTAGCACTAGCAACCAATGTAAATTTTTATCACCCACTATGTTTAGGCAGATTATGCAAGATTATGATGCCAAAACGATGAACAGCATCGCTATGATCATTTTGAGGCCAATAACCAGGGGTTGAAAATAGTTATTTTATCGGTTCCAGTTCTTGAAACAGTTATAAGGAACCGGAAAAGTTTCATAATTGTTACGTGGTACATGTATCGGTTTCGGTTCCGACTCTTAAGAACCAATATTATTATATATCGGTTTTTCATGTTAACTATTATTTTTCGGTTATATTTCGAATTCAAGGCTTGTACCACGTTCCGAGGTACTAGGTACCCTCGCTTGTTTCGGAGGACTATAAGAGCGTTTAAACGTTTATAGTATTTTAAACGATGACACTCTGGGTTATATATCCTTAATTAACTAAAGGAGGTGTTACATTATCGGTTAAAATATAACTGGAACCTTTTTAAACTATGGAACACAACACACATAACGTTTACAAGTAATTTAAAACTTGTGCATAAATGTTGTGTGGGATTGTATGTAGAAGTAACATGTATATTGTGTAAAAAATTCGAAATATAACTGAAATACATAACAGATATACCTCGTAACATTGAGGACCATGAAACTTCTTCGGTTTTCCGTAACTGTTTCAGTCAGAACCGATCTGCTATTTTTGGAACCTTTTCAATCCCTGCCAATAACTCTTCAATTATATTTTAGTCGAATCAGATTAAAAACGAAAATGAAGGATTTATTCACATACATACAGTAAATTCTCCCCAATTGTGCTTCAGCTTGTAAACAGAAATGGACAATTCGGGAAGAGGAGATACGATTTTTCGAGCCTCGCGGCCCGTTTTCATAGTTGTCGATTGTCCACAATGATAAAAACGAAGCGCAAGGCTCGAATAATCGTATCACCTAATCCCAAATTTTTCATTTTTGTTCATAAACGGACAGACAATTGGGGAGAATTTATTCTTGTATACACATGTTTTTAACTTTTGTTATATACAGATCTAAGCAAGTACGTATGTAGCTTCATTCGTGCGAATACTCTAGCACACAATTTCTATAATCGTCTATATTTTATTGAGCGAAGAATGAATAATATTTAAGGTTTTATTATCTGTCAGAGGTAATACTGTAGGTGTATATAGATGTATACAGCTTTCTATATTTGCAATTAGATAAATAAGTGCGTGGTACGATCAGGTACGCGATTGTTATGATATTTTACGATAAAATTAACAAATTCGGTCACACACCGATTAAAGGTATCTTATAAAGAAAATGGAAATAGAGGTGTAAATAAAAATAGGAAATTGATTATTTTAATATATATATATATATATATATATATATATATATGCGAAGAGCGATATTATTTTTATTTACACATACAATTTAATAAATACATTAAAAACAAATAATATTTATATTACATACACTTTTTGGAGTGTCATGCACGACATACGAATAACTATTTTAGCAGCAGAGTGAGCACTGACATACAAAGGTGTGCGTGAGTACATGTTATTCTAATTAAATAATCATGGCATAAATGTATGCAGAGCGTTACAATGATAACTTCATAATGATAATTCATGTTTCGTATGTACCACTACCAGTTATTTACCAACACGGTCTCTCCTTCGCAAATATGTCCGATGTCTTTCACATTTATGTTTAGAGGCAGACTAAAAAATTTTAAAAAATAAAGAACTCATAAAAAAGCTGCAAAAGGTATAGTATATTGTTTCCTGCATGATATCAGTGAAATGTATGACTAATTGTAAGTTAGATTAATACCTAATACAACGAAATTTTGAAAATGAGCGTGACAAATACACGTTCATATTTTTTTTTACATTTTAACAGCATATACAAGAATAAAGCTTTAAGGTAGTACAGCCGTATAAAGTTAATCGGTCCCTGGAGATATGAAAAGGTATAGAAAAAGAATGCTTCCGAGAAAATTATTTCTAGGTATGTTGCAACGAGCTGGAACGCTAGTTAACTTAGTCTTGTGCTTAGTAATAGTTGTAGAAAGACGTTGATTCACAGAAGAAAGAATCCGGTAAATTGTAGAACGTTCCATCTACTTTTTGGTATTCTGTGCACTTTTTCGTTCAGAACTAATATATCTAACTACTTGGTTTCTCAGACTGCTATTATCTTTGCATTTTGCTCATTCTTTATTATTATTTTTCTCTCATTCTCGCCTCGTTGGTCAATGTACTTGATACACGTTATTGTCTTTTTAATCAAATTTTGTATCCTTTGCGTCCTCTTCATTATTCACCTCTCTTTTTTTCTCGGCTTTGGATGCAAACACTCCGGGAAGATGATCTCTCACACGTTGTCTTAACTTTTGAGGAATCACCATAATAGTAGTTATCATATTACCGAGGAAGAGGACCAGGAACATTGCACTGAGAACTGGAACATGCCACGTAGCTTCCAAATGGGATGTTAACGTATATAACATGTACGCGTTATACAATTGGAATAGATATCCGATAAAAAGGAATGGTAAGAGAAACGACAGTCCCCGCCACATCCACGAATGAAAACCTTCTATAGTGATATCCATGTTATGTCTTTCGCCTAATGCTTTCAAGCGATATAAAACACCGCGTTGATAACAGAATTGCAAATACTGCACGAAACCTGTAAATGAAAATTACGGCAATGAAATTTTGAATAAACATTTATAAAGATCCAAATCGTTTGATAAGAACCAACTTACTAATGTACGCGTTGAACCACATAAATTGTTGTCGAAATGCATACCATGGCCCTGTGTTAGGCCATACTAGCAAAACTCCAGAAACCACGGTCGAAAGGAAATGGTGAAATCTCCACCAGCCTTTAATTCTCGAACCGTTTACTTTCAATATACTTTCCCTTATCGTCAGCGTACAATAGTACCAGACTAAAAGGAACATAAAACTAAGTTCCAAGGTTCTAAAAAAATGTGCATCATAAAATATTAATATAATATAAAAGCAAAAGAAGTACAATATAAAATAAATAATGTTTTACCTGATATTAGTTACTAGGTTTATCACAGATAAAATAAAACCAATTACAGAAAGGACTAATTTGAACTTTTCATATTCATCCTTATACTTGAATCTGAAAAAGGTTACAACAAATTGCAATTGTATAATACTCGTTATACGTTTCGATATAAACATCGTAACTGTGCTCACTTATCGCTTTTATTTAATATGGAAACGTTAACACTGCCTAAAATAATTTGAAGGTATGTGCCATTTGCTTTTGGTAATGTTTGTTCTATTTCATGTAATTGCTGCTTCCTCTTCGTCATATGCTTGTCTAGACTCTGTCGTGCTCCGCTCGCGTGTAATCTGATTAAAATCATGAAAAATTTGTTACGATTCATGAAAAATAGTAACGATCAGTTTATTAGAATTATTTACTTACTGTTTCAACGATTTTGATATTACACCCATCCTATACCTCTGATGAGAAATGCCTTTCAAGCATTTTACCTGGAGTTCGCTTACCTCTTCTAATTTTGCAAGATATTCCCTGTTTAGTGCCTATATATGACAATATAAAAATGTTCTTCTTACCGATTGCTCCATAATATGCTTTCTTACAAAGAAAATGTAATAGCGAAAACATTGTCAACTCTGAAACTAATGAAAACTATATTCGTTCCTACGTAACGAATTGTCTCGGATCCCAACGTATTAGCGTACGATTCCTCCGTATAGTCTCAAATAAGGTTTTCGTTCCTTTCTTCTCTGTTTCGAGCAACCCCCAGCCAAACGATTAAAACAGACTCTTGTTTTTAACTTTGCTGTGTTTCACATTATTATTTTTAAAGCATTAAGTGCAAGAGTATTACAGCGGATACCACAGAAGAATAAATAAGTACTTTCTCGGACCGAACCACTACCTAATTTCGATAGTGATTTATGTTCTTCGAACACCGGTTTGGAGTGTCGCTATGCATAAATAAAGGGACACGCTTAACCTCGAACGTTAAAGGTTGACGTTAAACTATCGACGACATTAACGTCTCGGTTTAACGAGAAATATATCTTACTTCTAATTCCTTGTAATCTTGTGCTAAGTCGTTCCAATCTTTCAGACAAGATTCAACATCAGTGTCCATTGTGGCGACGAAAAAGATGATTGAAAATGATGATGACCAAGAACTACCTAAAAATTCAATGTATGTACATACATATGTACACCAACGTAATGTACACTACGGCCGCGGCCGGTCGTCGTATGTATTGCTGCGGCTGAGTAAACCACTTCCTCGTAGATCTCGCAACAGAGTGCTCTAGAAGCTGTGTTTCGATTATCGTGATCTTCAGGGCCGACGTATGATAAGAGCGTTCTCTCAAAAATAACTGCACTACATAATCCGCGGGAGGAAAAGGATAGCGATTGCCTTCGAAATGTCATTTGCGACGAGAATTTTATGTTACATTCCGAATTGAGAAACGATACCGAACGAAATGCAAATCGACGTCGCCGGATGGGTCACGGAGTCAAATTTCGGTAAGCGTGTACGCGGCGGCGTTTAAAAATTCGATCAAAATATTCTGGCCAAATTAAATGTAATCGGACGTGACGAAATTTGTCCAGATTATTTCTCAATTGAATCGAACTTACGCAATTCCGATAATAATCCCCGTATCATTTTACTCGTAAAACTTTCTATTTCCACGCTCTGTTCCCGTGTCATATCTTGCGAATAATTTTGCCACGATATAATTATATCACGACACATTGTATATATTTAAATAAATACAATTAAATCCATTCAGCTTTATCCATGTAAATTATGCTGTATTTTTCTTCGATACAAAATTTGACAGTCCAACAGAATAAACTTACTTTTTCGTATAAAGTAACTTCTTCAAACATTCGAGTCCCGAAGTCTGATTCCATCGCTATTTTTGTTTGAACGGTGCCGTAACGGTAATTTATGAAGGCGCACACTTGTTTTCGTCTTTTTACTTATTCGCGCAACACGGACTTGTAAATAATTGCGGATTCTTTGATTTCGAGGAGCATATAATACATTTGAAAATTTCAACGTTAGTTATGTCGTATTTTGCCGGACGCGTGAATTTTTTCACGGTTGTTGACCATAAGGGGACAAAACAGAGTGGATGAGAAAGTAGAAAGAATAAATTAGCGAGAAAGCAAAAAAATCAAAAGAGATAGAAAGAGACCGAGAGAGAGAGAGAGAGAGAGAGAGAGAGAGAGAGATGAACGAAGACTAAAATGTTATATAAATAGTTCTGGCAGTAAACACATCGCTTCATGTGAAATTCTATGCATGTATGTACTTCATTTCGTCCAACACGCAGATTCCTTGACCTCGTATTGCGACAGCGTGACACGCCGACACGGAATACATTGTCCATCGGTTTCTTTTCCCCATGAATTCATTGCTTTCAATTTTATGCACCTACAAAGACCAACCGAAGACAGATGGCATGATTCTTTCCCTCGGTGAATTTTAATGCTCTCACTGCTAGCTCTAGAACTGTATCCACAGAAAATACAACTGAATCTTCTAGAGAAGGCACACCAGCATAATAATATAAATTGTGTATTACGTAGTCACATAAATGCTGAAAATGCCGATAAAAAAAACTACGATGGACGTGTTTTAGATGTTTTCCCGCTAATAAAAAAGTAGGTCGATTCTCTATCATGCTACATATTCTAAAGAAAGTAATCAGGGTGAAGACGGTATTAGCTGCATTACTTGTAAACGCTATCGTCTCTTTCAAAGTCTTCATTTTTCATTCAGCTATGCTGAACGATTAACCTGATTAACCTTTCGTCTAGATATATCATTCCGGAAGAGTGGTCCCTACAATACATATAATGTTTGTAGGTATGTACATCTTAAGAGTTTGCGAATGTTTGTAGGAATATAAGCACCGTGTAAACATCTTTTCGCAAAATATATTTCTACCTAATTAAGAGAATTACATTTGAGAATTACACAGTTGCACGACAAATTGCCAGCAATAAGATTATTTAATGTAATTCGTTATTCTCTGTTTTCGAGATATGTAGGTATCTAACGTCTCCCCTCCCGATGTAAGAAATTTCGGCTAGAGATTCAAATACATCCGATAATGGTAAATAGTGTGCAGTAGACGTTACAATGGTTTCGGGATGACCACGAGATCATGAGACGAAGATGAATAATAGACGTTTAATAGTAATTAAAAATCAGTGTGCGTAATCGGTCTACTTTTTAATACGGTAAGAAATTTATAGTACAATATTTATCACTGTTAAATATAGAGTCACGCATGCTCGTCTGAAACAAGAAACGATTAGTCTGCAAAAGGTGTCCGATTTGACACGTGCCAATACGTGTGATTACCGTGAAAGAACATTCCGCAACCTTCAAGCACACGACAGTTATCGATTGCATTTCTGTCGAATGAAAGAAGCTTCAGTGGGTCCATCTGTGAGTCGACGGACGGCCGTCTGATTTCCCGCGTTCCACAGTAAACAGTAATAATGCTATCGAAAGCTCGATACGACAGTAAGAAATGTTCCATTAGCAAAACTTAGCCGAGGTTGCCGGAGCTTACAGTATTTCCTACTCCAATCGTAAAAGTGAAAGGAAAAACATGAACATTACGCGAAATTGTCTTAAAGCTGCGGGAAAAGTCAGCCACATCCAGGGTAATATTTCATCGAATTATTGTATACCGGATTGCAGTTACGTAGGGGCGAAGAGGATCGACGATTCGTCCGATATCGCGAAGACTGCTGACGGCGCTGCACAATTGAAAATCGAAATCGTCGAGAAATCGTGCGAGAAAGAGAGAAGTTATGGTGTTGCGAATAAAGCAACTGCTACCGGAAGTGATCTGCAGAAAGCACCGGAACCGCAAGGTCTACCTTTGTTTGGAACGCTTTTCTCGTTTTTACTTGCTGGTGGCGCGAAAAGACAGCACGAATACGTGGACAAAAGACATAAGCAGCTGGGTCCGGTTTACAGAGAAAGACTGGGGCCAGTTACGGCAGTGTTTGTCAATTCCCCGCAAGAGTATCGTAGAATCTTTCGGATAGAGGGAGCGGCGCCGAAACACTTCCTACCGGAAGCTTGGTTGCTATACAACGATATACGAAAATGTCGGCGCGGACTACTCTTCATGTATGTAAATCGTCAATCAGTGTTAACGCTTTAGCTACCGGACATCTATCGACAGAATAATCGATTAGAAAATCCATTATGTAGTTGTCTTTTATTCTTGAAAGATCGTTGAATCTAAATCGCCGGCAGGTAAAGTCTAAAGGCAGCTAACAGAGTTTTTATTGTCAACCATTATACCGACACCTTTGAACAGGAACGGAGACGAGTGGATGCATTTTCGAAAAATATTGAATAAGGTAATGTTAGTGCCGGATCCGACAAATCTGATGGCTGGTCCATGTGAACAGGCAGCCAAAGAACTGACACGGAAATGGCAGAAACAGATGGAGACCGATGCTGTGATACCAGACTTACAGGTTCAACTGTATCGGTGGTCCATAGAGGGTAAAAAAAATGTAAAATCACGTGAAACGTCTGAAAAAAAACAACAAAAAACTAATTTAATTTTAACTTTTATAGCAATGGTTGCAACATTGATGGGCATCCACTGGCACAATTGCAAACACGAGCTGTCTCGAGATTTCGTAAAATTGGCGAGAACGTTGCACAAAGTATTCGAATACTCTGCTAAATTAGCCATAATGCCAGCTAAAGTTGCCATGAATTTACGACTTCCAGTTTGGATGAAGTTCGTTACAGCCGTAGACGCAACATTCGAAATGGTTCGTGTTTTGGTACCACGAATGATCGAATTAGGTGGCGACGGCTTGCTAAAGAAAATGTTGGACGAAGGGATTCGAGAAGAAGATGCAATTTGCATTGTGACCGATTTTATTTTAGCGGCTGGAGACACGGTATAAACCTGTACATACATACTTGTATATGTACATACCTATGTACTTTATGTATGTATGCAAATATAAGAAATTTCCATGAAGATATAAAAGTAATCGTGCGAACATAATTTGAATTATAGACAGCGACCACTTTGCAATGGATTCTGTTGTTAATGTCCAATCACCCTTACAAACAAGAAGAACTGTACAACCATTTGAAAAAACTTCCAGAGAAGAAAGTGCTACAGGATGGGCAGTTGAGAGGCGTAATTAAAGAAACTCTTCGATTATATCCCACCGCGCCATTCATCTCGCGATATTTGCCGGAAGACAGTGTGATTGGTAATTATTTCGTGCCAAAAGGGGTAAGTGATCTTGTTACTACGGTGTTGAAAATATTATTGGAAAATGTGAAATGCAAGAGAGAGAGAGAGAGAGTACTGTGAATTACGGTATCGAATTGATTTTAGGAATTGATAGTGTTATCAATTTATTCGAGCGGTCGTGATAGCAGAAATTTTTCACGACCGAACGAGTTTCTACCGGAAAGATGGATCAGAACGGATGAAGGTACTTACCGCAGTTTATTAAATCCACACGCGAGTCTACCGTTTGCTTTGGGTGCGAGAAGCTGTATCGGTCGAAAAATGGCAGAAATACAAATACTGCTTGGTTTGTCGGAGGTATTCCAGCTGCTATATATTACAATCCAGAAACACATTGTTTATAATATATATTTATTAAATTGATTATTTCGTAAAATTGTGCAAGATAAACACTTGTATATGTTACATTCTTAAGATAAAATAACAAAAAAAGTACGGTTATATATATATATTAAATTAGTTGAACGAAATGGATACAACAACAATTAATTACGTTTCTATGAATGTTTCAGCTTCTGAAATCATTCAAGATAGATTGCGTGAATAAGGATCAAGTGCAAATGATTTTGCATTTAATTTCCATTCCGTCGGAACCGATGCAATTAAAATTAACGCAAAGGATATGAAAAACGAGGCTGAGTCACGTAGAGTACGATTGTACAATGGTACAATGGTAAGGAAGAACATCTATGTTCGTTCTATTTTAGTCAATTCTAAATTCGACTCCTTTACACGTATATACAATTAGCATTTCAATGTATATTCTTTAAAGAAATTACACCTACAAACGTGTAATAATCAGTAAATGTACATCGATACTGCCTCTTAAAATATATTCACAGCAAGTACGATAATAGGGGCACGATGAATAAAGACTTTCATATTATAAAAATTTCATTGAGTGCGTCGTGATCACGATTGAACGACCAAATATATAAACTACGATTTCACTACTATTAATATCACAATTAAGTTAAATGACTTTGTCGTCAACGTTGGCACAGAACGCTATTAATTATCTGTCTCACCTCGGCCAAGAACTCATGGAAGCTATCGCTGTTGGAAAAGTCCTGAAATGCTTGTACTCTTTCCGAATGTGTCATAGAGGCTGTGAGAAAGCTCTTTACGCAGCAAGATTTCAATTCGTGACATGCGTTATTTTTCGCCCAATTCCAGGCTCTGCTGAAATTCTGATAATTCAGCTTGGAAATCGAACTCTCTGTGAGAACATCCGACACGTCGTTCATTAGAAACTTGTCGGCCAACAATACGGCGTCCAATAAAGACTCGATGGTTCTGTTTTCAAAGGCAGCGCCATTCGCGGCGAGTAATAACGTGTGAAGACCTTCCCTCGACGTGTTTCGCAGCTTCACACGTTTTTTCCCCGATTCCGAAAAGTTTCCTTCGAGCATTGCAGAAAAGGCATCCGACTTTTGGCATAGCGTGTGTCTACAGGCATTGATGGTTGTGCCATCGTCCAACTCGAACGTGACAGTAGCCGGCTTAGGATGATTATCGTAAACTCTTGGGAAATCTGTCGATGCGGTGTCCGTGATCTGACACTTGTCTATCATTTCTGGCTGTATCTGCAGCGTGTTTGCTAACCGACAAATCGACCATATAGCATTCTTGTAAAGACTGTGCTGTTGGTCGGATAGCACGCGGAATATTAATGCCAAGCCACCGTAATTGTTCAGCAGGGACTTGAGAATATAGCGTGATTTAATTAAAAATGGTATCGAGACTGCGATTACCAATTTGTGAGCTTCGTCTCCGCGCAGTAGTATGGATGTCAGTTCACCTATTGCTCCACCGGTTTCGGCAAGAGCACATAACTGCCTTAAGTATTGCTCTGAACCGTATAACGTCTGAGCTTCAAACACGAAGCCTTGCTTCAACAGAGGCATTAAATACGCTCCATTTCTGTATAGAAGACTAAGCGTTAAGCAATTCAAATTCTATATAAAAATTCTATACCGTACTTTTAATTGGATCGTTTTTACTTACCTTACAATCCGTGTTAAAATCCTGGACGCCTTTGGGTTTTTAGCATGCCTGATATAAGCTGACAGTGGTTCGATGGTGGTAGAATCGGCCAGTCGTTCGATCGGATCGTTCGAATGACTCAGACGACTTAGTAAAACTAACGTCCATACGTTTGCATATTCACAGTTATTTACTATCGATTTATTTCCTTTTTCGGAAGTCTGGGGTTCTTCTGTCTCTGCAATCACCGATTTACAACTTTCTAGCGATTCCACTTCTTCTTGTGGTTCTGCGAAAAGATTCGTTATCTCACGTATCTAATCGAATTCATTACTTTATGTATATTCTATGGGAATATGTTGTTTTGCGAACCATCTTCGTTGTCCATAAATTCTGTATCACTACAAACTGGACTGTAATTATCTTCTGTATTTTCATCGTTCTCTAAGGAATCATAAAATGGTAATGGTGGCGTTGAAGGGGGCGAAGAAGAGACACTGGTCGCACTGCCTGGACTCCAGTCATCGCGATAATAATCCGAACTAAATCTGTGAAATCGAAGCATAGCGTTTATTTATTTCAGATTATATCATGAGAAAATCTAATAAAAACGTACCGTCCTAGATTGGTTTTGTTATACTTGAATTCTGTTTGTTTGTTAGGTGGCGATTCGTTGCCTCTTTTCTTCGAAATCCTAGTCTCCTCGTTACTTATGGTTTCCCTGACCATTTTTCTCAATCTAGTTACAAGAACATCAAGCAAACCATTCTTCACCATTATCACAATGCTCGGATCATCGTAGACAAATTGTGCCAAAGCATGCAATAACATAGGGTGGTACTTTTCATCCTGAGAACTTTGTAATAAAGACAGCATTAATTCTAAACCAGATCCAATTCTAATCCTTGCACGATTCACAGCTTCGCGACAGAATAAACATAAACTGGACAACATCTCTTTACACAATTCCGAGCGATCTTTAATGAGAATAATGAGACTTTCGATAGCGCCAGAATTTCCCAATATAGGACGGCATTCTGCTATTTGGCAGAGGTTGTACAAACACTTGACAGCCATTTTATTTTTCATACCGAGGCATTGTACGATGCATTTATAGCCTTGCAAATCTTTCTCCCCTCGAATTTGTTCGCTAACTCGAGGGTCAAGAGTACACAAAAATGCGCACATTGCTTTCAAACAAATCTCTATTAGTTCGGAAGCAGTTCTCGTGCTTGTTTCTAATTTCCCCACTGCCATTATTAATAATCCTGTAATTCTACGTATAACACCAGTTTCTAATATTTCTTCTCTGCTGCCTTCGTGTATGCTCCAAATGTTTCTGTATACAAGAGATATAAATCGATAGAACGGAGCACTATTAGACCCGATGAAATTATTTTTGATTAATCAAGACTTGATTACCTTATAGCTCTGACGCTCATTAAATAAGTTTGCGTATTTGTATTTAATTGTAAAAGATCAACTATAGCCTGAATCGCACCAGCTTTACAAAACGATTTGGCATGCCAATCGCACTCCGATAAGTTTCCAATTAATCTGCACGCGCGGCACTGTAAAGTGCTTTCTAATTTTATATATTTTATTATAGAGACTATGTTATTTGCTATCTTAGATCCTCTAACCTGAAAAAGATGGTTTCAACGTTAGTTCAAAATAATTTTACTTCTTCTTTTACTATTTCTTTCAACCTTGCCTGACCGAACGATCCATGAACCGAACAGCCTTAAAAATATATGACGAGAAATCTCATAATACCTTTTCTCGTGCGTCCGAATGCAAGCACGCGTTCGCTAGAATGCTTAAAGTCATATTCAATATCTTCAAATTATGACAGCGAAGTAAATTTACTAAAATGCCCAATCCTCCATCTTTTGCAAACTGCTTGTAGCATTTGGGTTCATTTTTTAGTCGCACCAGGCACGAGGAGATCCCACTCTTAGAGTCTGTTTTGACATGTTTCAATAATTCCGGAAGTATTGGTTGCTCTTTCTTTTCGTCCATGGCCGACATATTTTTAGATAAATCGAGAAATGAACGAAAATTCGTTAATATTTTAGAGAAAACATAACCTCTAAATTGTGCTGCCAACGAGATTGACAGCTACACCTGTACAGTAACTTACAAAAGTAAGTCGAAAAGAAAAATACTGTAATTCGTAATTTTCTGCAATCAAAATTTATTGCGTTTTCACTGCATAAGGTCCACGTATCCACGATTCGATGTTTAAAGACAATGTACATCGATATATAATTCATTAATTATTTTTTATAATTACTTTCTCAAAACACCCGCTACCAAGCTTTTAGTTCGTAAAAGACACGCTAGAGCGCTGTAATTTATTCCAATCTAGAGACCCTCGTGTTAGCATGCAGCAAGTATGTACATGTACACATGCCATGCCAGATATGTACATAGGTACATATCTATATACATTATACTACTGCATATGTATTCGTATGGTCGAAGCTTAGGCCTTAGGCCATGTCATATGCAAGTGTCATACTATACATGTATGTACGTACCATCGCCTTAAAAAACATACATCATATATGGTCGGAATATGTATGCATACATTACTATACAACTACTATTAATGCTAGTAGTATTAATGCTATTAATGCTGGAGGGAATGAGATTCGCCGTAAAAATGGACTACGACTTGTATACGCACTTCGACTGTCAAATTTCACATTGAATTGAATGTTTCAATTTCCTCTCAGAATTGCCATTTCAAAATTCCAGATTTCGAAACAGTCGATATTATAGGAGTTTAAAAAATACTGCCGGCCTTCAGAGCTAAAACTGGAAACAGCAGTACCGAAAAATAAGAATTTAAAGATTCTATCGCATAGTATGAAAGGAAGAAATCTAGAAATCTAATAGAAATCTGACAACTACTTTCTTAACATTTATATTTATAACAACATACATATTTCTGTACAAACGATTGCCATCAACGTACATATGTATTGCATCGTAAAACATTGTTTAATCGATTTTATCTGCTTGTCTCCGTTTGCTCTTTAAAAAGCAAAGAGAAAAGAGAAATTATACTTAATGTTTATCTCTCTCTCTCTCTCTCTCTCTCTCTCTCTCTCTCTCTCTCTCTCTCATGTGTAACTCGAAAATTATTTTTACAATTCTCAATTGGAATGAATTTTGATTCTCCTAGTTACGAACAAAAGACGCGTTAGATTGCATATCTTACTGTTTTAACCGAAGAATTAAATCTAAACGTTTTCGGAAACACAACGGTAATTACATACAAAGAATTACGTAAGACATAAAGAAACACCATCCATCGTTCATAGTTGCGTTATGTATGTACGTATGTATGTATGTATGTATGTATGTATGTATGTATGTATGTATGTATGTATGTATGTATGTATGTATGTATGTATCCAATTTCTTCAGAATCTTAAACAATCGAAGCTTTTCTAGCAAAGTCGGAATTACATATATACATTTTCACAAAATGTTTCTATTAAATGAGTTCGTATGACCAATCTAAATATAAATTACACACGTATTTGTCCGCTATAGAGAAAGACAGGATTTTGTCGAGTGTTTCACAAGAAAGAATTTCTAATTTGCGTAAGTGTGGTTTTTTCTCGTAGAGTATCGTCCCGTCGTCCGTGAAGCGGCGCACCTGCTGTTAGGAGCAGTGTCCGCGAACAGAGTATAACGGAGGCGTCAAAATGATAGGAGAGGGCATAGGGATCGGATCATCGTGAGCTACACAAGAGATGTCGACAAGATGACAGCGGCCGTATGACGCTCGTTTCGTTTGCTCTTTGGCTGCGTATTTGATCGGCGTGTACCAGGAAGAAATATCGCATCGCCTAAAACACTAAAACAAACGACTTATGCCTCGTTACGGTGGCACGTGCATATCAGTTGATTCTCTGCCACGGAACGGGATCGTAATCGGGTCTATTTGGGTGAGAGCGAGAGCCGCAAACGCCGCGCCCGTGCCCGTGCAATCAGTGCAATGTACACATCGGCCTGAATCTGAATCGTGCCCGGAACCGTCACCGTTCCCGAGGAGTCCTTCCTTTCAACGGCCTGGAGTGAAGTAATGAGCGTTTTCGGGGATTTCCAGCGTGTCTGGGTACAAAGATTCCCGGACAGCGCCTTGCCGGCGGCCTGGGAAGAGGACGTCAGGGCCAACCTAGTCAAGCATAAACAGAAGGTAATTGCTTGTAATTAGAATGTCTATTTTAATCCCTTTACTTACATCGAATATGCAAACGAGTTTGTAAAAATCTGCCAGCAAGAGGATTTCCTTCCAATCTCTGATCAATGATGAATCACTAATTGTGCGTCTCTTGCACAGGTTGTAAAATTTACTTAAACTTTTCTTTACTGTACTTTTATAAAATTAGGCTATTCAAAAATCAACCATGCACCAATCTATTTTTTCTATTGTATCCTACAATTCTACATTATTTTTTCATCTATGCTACAATGAATTTATATGTACGAATTAGCAAATCCTTATATGTAATATTTTCAGACTGTTGCTTGTTTTTATCATAATAAACAGATTATGTCAACGTTTTTAAATAGAATCGCGCGTTTGGTAATGCTTTCTTTAGAACTTTCCAATAGGGTTACCAGTTCTTTAGAAGAAAATCCTTTCTTGTTCTTGAGGTGATGGAGACTTTATTTCATGACTCATCGTATTAATTTCATACTTAAGTGGGACGTTGATCGAGTTTATAGTTGAATATAAGTAATAATTCAATACAATCTGTTTATTATAATTTTTGTTTAAACTAATGCTTAGAAATTAATTCTTATGCGGTTATTATTTTATTGTACGCAATCTTGTAGAAGTATACGACACTTAACAAGGGAAAATATATTCGCAGCATGAACAGAGTAAAAGAAATGTATCGAGTATATTAATTTTTACTATTAAAATTCTTTGATAGCGTATAGTTAATCTTGCTATCTTACCTAATCTTGCTATCACGAATAAAGTACATATATAGGTTGGTCAGCAAGAGTTGGGAGAAGACTAAAGCTACGCGAATATTAGACAAATAACAAAAACTAAAAAATTAAAATTTTAGCAATGTTTTCAAATAATTCTGTTACATCTCTTGTATTATCTTATATTGTAATAAATCTTCTCATATCTATTGCTAACACACATCTACAATACACACATGTGTCCCCCTGCCACACACACACACACGCGCGCGCGCGCGCGCGCACGCACACAATATAATTGATGTATTTAAAGGTGACTGCTCTGCGAGAGGAACTCGAAAAAGAAGAATTCTATGTGGAATATTTGGAAAGGTTACTAGCCGACGTAGAGCGTCACAAACAATTGGCTAACAGCAACATTGTAATAACTGCTGAGAAGCAGCAGCTCACAGATTCTCAAATCCAGCAGACCTGTCAACCGACAGAAAATAGTCTGTTCGATGCAACAAACGCGTCTCGTGTGCAACAAACAGAGCAATTGGCTCCATCCCTTCCTGTGCGGGAGGATATAAGCAAATTTCAAGACAAATGTGTTTCCGAATTGAGCTCTACTCTAAACACGAGCAAGAGACCTAAAAGCGAGATACCGAGGAGTCCTGACAAAGTGCCTGAGCTCAGAAGAAATAGCGATCCCGATGTGCCAAGTAATTATGTAACTGTAATCGAAGTGACAGGTAGCTCGAAGAAAGAGAAAAATGAGGAATCCCTCAAAGAAGAAGACGAGAAAGGTGTTGTATTCGCTTTACTCCATTTCATAATTAAATCCAATTCCATTTATACGTATGCTTTATGAGTAGATTTGGAAAATGCGATTAACGAAGATGGAGAAGATGGCGATGCAGAGGCATCGGAGGAAGAACCTTACTATGATTCCGTAGCATTAGATCAAACAGGAGAGTATGTATATATTGACGCACGTGTCCCACCAGTTGGAAATAATAATGGCAATAGAGTACCGCCGAGGAGACCGCCTTCTCTTCCAGACTCACCGGGAAACCAGAGCAACTATGTCAACATCGATTATTTTATACAGTGAGTGGTCGATGTTAAATAACTAGAATAATTGCCTACGGCGTTCGAATATACTCCAGTTTATAGGGTAAATAAAATTGAACGTTTTTGCAGGCATAGGGCAGCAATGGACAGTGAAGACGAAGAAGGTGCAAGCCCTGCGCCGCCGATTCTGTTACGCGCACTTAGCACCGATAACGAAACTGGTAGTAGCGACGCAGAACCTTTGAGTTTGAGCGAAGGCAGCTTAGAGTCGCCCACACCAACGACCCCGCGTCGGCAAGAGAAAAGTAAAGATCGTGAGGACGATAGAACGTCTATGATTAAATGTATTGTAAACTCGGTAGTAGAAAGTGAAACTGTATATGTTGAATGTCTAAACGTGATGCTACAAGTATGTGGATTCTACTATTTGAACTAAATGAAATATGGAAAGTCGTTTCATGGTTTCTAACGAATGCCTATCTTTTCAGTATATGAAGGCTATAAGGGCCACATTGACCACGTCCCAGCCTGTCATCTCGGAAGATGAGTTTGGCACCATGTTTTATAAAATTCCTGAACTGCACGAACAGCATCAAACATTTCTGAACGGTCTTAGGAAGAAATTGGAGAAATGGGATTGCAAGACAGCGATAGGTGAACAGTTTAAAGTAAGAGCAGAGATTCGAGACGTATTACGATATGCGGTAGAAGAGCAACCGTCGTCTCTGTAGCTCTGTTTTTAATGATTATCGATTGGTAATTAGGTAATGGCCAGCAACATAGCGTTATATGGAGCTTTCTTACACAATTACGCCCGTGCTACCGATACTGTACGAAGATGTTCCGCACATTCTACTCAATTCGGTGAAATTACAAGGGATATCAGACTCCGAGGATTTCCCAAAGGTCCCGGCTTATCCCTCGAAGATCTTCTCCATAAGCCTGTAGCACGAGTGCAGAAGAATGCATTGGTATTGCACGTGAGTATAAACACGAATGTGCAACATTATTCAACGAAGATTACTTGCATAAGTCGATAGAGACACGTGGAAATATACTAACTTTATCTTATCGGCGAGTTCGCAGTGAGATAATCCCTTTCAATCGATTGTAGGATCTCTTAAAACATACACCTGTGAATCATGCAGATCATGCACCTCTCTCCGAAGCTCTTGCTATGACTAGAAACTTCCTGGACGAATTCAACATTATCCAGACAAAATCAATGTTCCCGGTGAGCAAAAGTGAAATAGCATTTCTGGTCGTTGAACCGTTGTTGTTCAGAAATCGTGATGTGTGCCTATGAACATATTTATTTCCAGAGTCATGACAGGGCACAACGAAGATTAGTGAAGAATTCGTTTGTAGTGGAACTATCGGATGGTCATAGAAAGCTGAGACATTTATTCCTATTCAACGATGTGATTGCTTGTGCAAAATATAAGGCATCTGGTAGAGATAAGTTTACATTCGAGTTAAAATGGTATGTGCCAGTGGCGGAAGCGGTAGTGACAGAAGACGGTGTCGAACCACGCGAGACTAGTCCGGCTAACGTTGTAGCTCTGAGGTATACAGTAATGTGCTAAACCTAAACTATACTTTGTTCAGGTTAATCGTATTCGTAAAAATGTCTATTTTCTGACCAGTAACATTTTTTCTACAGGTCACAGGCATGTACCGTACGCGATCAGATATTATGGGAAGAGCGTAACGATGAAAAACGAATTAGGCTTGGTGGTAGAGGTTCGGAAAAGAATAGAAAGAAGCTTGCTGAGCTCGAAGCTCAACTAGTATTAGCATCTCCGAATTTAGTATTACGCGTCGCGCATAAAAGTCAGCATAGAATGCAAAACTCGTACACGTTCTTTCTGTCCAGTGAATTCGAACGGTCTCAATGGGTTGAAGCGGTGGAGGCATTGCAACAGGTAATGCGTTCCCATATGTACCTAGATAAGTCAAAGGTGCGTAATTCACAGATTACGAATACATACATACCGTATAGATACTTAACGATATCTTTTACTTAAATCGGGCACAAGGATACAAGTAATGATACATTTATGAAGACGATCGAGCTACCAACGAAACAATTGCGAGTTAAATTTGTTATCTTTCACCTTTTTTAGGGTGGGCAACCACCAGGACCGTTGCCTTTGTCGATGTACGAGTTACAGGCTTGGGTTACAGCCTGCCGTACCTATCTGCAAACAGATATGGGCAGCTATTTGTTGAGATCGGGTCGCGACGAAAGTTTATTACTCGGCGACCTTCACTTGACTCTGCTCGGCCTAACGCCGCCAGGTTTAGACCGAATAGGAGATCTCTATATAATTGTAGAAGTCGATAGTTATGGGCATTATTTTAAGAGAGCAAGAAGTCGTGTTGCAAGGGGTCAGGCTCCAACGTGGGGTAATAACGTTGTATCCTATTACGTTACATTATTTTATATTATATTATGTTATTATGTTATGTTATGTTATACTATATTATGTTGTAAAAGGCTACAATCGGATAAACCAGATTAATTTCAACCTGATTTTGCTTTAAGGTGAAACATTCGTTGTCGAATTGGAAGGCAGTCAAAATGTTCGAATTCTATTGTACGAAGAATGTGGAACGCGTTCGGTGTTGCGTGGCAAATGTATACAGAGACTAAGCCGATCTTGGTTGCAGTCGGATCAAGTGGAAAGGTCGTTGAATTTGGGACCAGCCACTCTAGACGTGGCCCTTCGTTTCGTTCCAAGCGAAGTCACTTTAAGGCGGGTACCATCTGCCAAACCTCAAGGCTTGTTCGGAGCTAAAATCCAACAAGTGTGCAAGTACGTTATTGTTATTGAAACACGGATGCGTTTATCCGGAAACAACGGTTAAGATAACTTTGCTTGTTTGTTTGCTTTCTAGACGCGAGAAACGAGACGTTCCTTTTATCATAACTGCCTGCGTGAGGGAGGTCGAAAGGCGAGGAGTCGGAGAAGTAGGTTTATACCGTGTCTCCGGTTCCGCGTCCGACTTGACGAAGTTGCGAAAATCGTTCGAAAGCAATTCGTACGAAGCGGAGCAGTTGCTTAAAGAGGTGCCCGATCATACGAACTTGGGAAAGCAGCAAATCTTCGACGTTAATAGTAATAATGATAATAACATGTTTGCCGTTTTCCAGGTGGATGTCCATTCGGTGACGGGCGTTCTCAAGCTGTACCTTCGAGAGATGCCGGAAGCTCTTTTCACGGATGCTCTTTATCCAGCTTTTCTGGAAGCTTTCCAAACTGGCGAGTTGTCGAAGGGTAATGCCTTACGAAGAGTCTACGAGAGTCTGCCGGCTGTGAACAAAGCAGTGATCGACTTTCTATTGACTCACTTGATAAGAGTGAACAAACACGAGGCACAAAACAAGATGTCCCTGCATAATTTGGCGACAGTATTCGGACCGACGTTGCTCCGACCCGGCACGAACTCACGGTCCGACGCAAAAAGTCGCGACCCGCTGGCCGCGGGTACCGTCGATGTAATGGCGCAGGCAGGCATACTCTACTGTTTCTTGCAAATGCACATGCAACAGAACAATCAGTCGCTCTAGTCGAGAGAGTCTTGTTGACACGTCGTGGCGTCGGTTGCTCGGAGATTGTCCAACTTGCCACGACTAACGCTCGCTTGCGATATACGCAACTTTTTATAATATATTTTACTAGTTCTCCCGCGGCGTATCTCGTTTATACAACGCATCAACGTAGTAGACAGGCTTTCACGCAATACACGAAACCCAAACACCGAAGGAATTTCCGATGTTAGAAACGCAACGGGAACGTTTCGGACGCGTACGAGTATCGTAGCAAAGCGGACTCGTGGGCCATCGCGCATATCGGTTCTCCGAGCTCCATAATATATTTTATACTCGCGTATTCCTACGAAGTCTTGGCTAACAAGAAGCCCGTAGCTGGTCTCCGACCGAGGTGCAAAATTTTCGGGGACGTACTCTTCGATCATTGGCGATACATCGAACAAGGAGAATCTTTGGTTAAAGTATTTTCCCTGTATCCGTCGTACCCTGTACCAGATAAAAGGGATGCCTGGTAAGAGATAAAGAAGGGATATACCGTGGTCACGCATGAAACATTCGCAGAGATACGTTTGACGAAAAAAGAAGGAAAATTTATTTCTCCGATTCGGAGAAATAGCTGGGAATCCGGTTCGCTATCGTATTCACGCTTTAGGACATAAGTGTTTTTTCCAATGGGGCGTGTTCCTAACAGAGAGTCTAAATTTTTTTACGCAACAACAACGTGACATACCTCCTCTAGCTACATACGTTCACGAGAATGTCCACTTGTTCGCGAGTGAATCACGTTCCTAAGTATTCCTATCGAACAACTTTTGGAGATCACGTTCCTTCGTACCTATATGCAAATCGAAGTTTCGTAACGACGCGATACACACATACGTATACCGGTTATATTGATTTTGTCGAGAAATTCGCGTTCCGCGAGCCGTTTGATTCTTTACAGAAATATTTTTAAAGAAGTACGAGCTCTCGCGGAACTTTTTCAAAGAGTATCGACACGAGCAGCGAGACATGTTTACGTTTAAGCTGTAATTAGACTGTCGCGCGTTAGTCTTTTTTTTCATTTTTATTCGTTCGTAAATGACAGCCTTGTTTCCGTTTCCAGACGCGGTGCACCATTATCATCGACCATTAATTATCAAAAAGATCGTTTTACAACCGTTTCTTTTTACACGTGCCCGATAACGTCCAAATCTCGTCGCATATCTCGTCTTCAAGTCTGAATACAGCTTAATAATAGAGCACCAAAGAGAAAACATTTTCTCGCATATATCTAACAAAGTATCACGATTGACCCTTTGAAGCATCGTAAGCTACATTCGCATTCTATTATCCACTGCATGTCCATTTTACAATATATAGTTGTATTTTTGTATTATCGTATATCACGATCCAATCACGCGCGTTCGTAATTTTATTGAATTCTGAAAATCACTGTCTACGAAATCTACACTCCATGCTTCGGAGGGTTGAAGCGATGGAAAGCACATTTGGCAGTACAAATTTGATACTCTATGTAAAGGTGTACCTCCTCCTGTTACATGGTAACACGTTTGCGAACTATTTTATAATCGAAGCGACAAAGACGAATGAAAAAAGAATCGAGCCTGACAGGTGTTCGATAAAATCGTGCATATATTATTATTATTATCATCATCATCATCATCATCATCATCATCATCATCATCGCTATTGTCATTATCATCGTCGTCACCACCACCACCATGATTATTATTATTATTATTATTATTATTATTATTATTATTATTATTACTATTATTACCATTATACAAAACAGGCAAAGAGAATAGGATGGAAAATAACATTGAAATACTTTTCCGGATACGACCACTGTGCTTGTGCGAAGGCAACTACGGTATGTGTGGTTTTAGCGTGTACGCGTGTATATGTGTAATCTGCCCATGTGTATTATATCGTAAATATTGGATATCTTTAATTTTTATATCGCATTTTAGGGTAATACGCGTCCTTCTATTGTACATTCAACGAAAACGTGTAAAGATAATAATTACCGCAGCAACTATTATCATTTTGATTATTTCATGATGCGCGAATAGCATTTGGAAGATCGTTTGGTAACACAGCATCCGATCGTCGAGCTGCTACCATTCCGGCTGTAGGACGATACGTGCTACCAAAAACTCTACGGATCCTTCGAACTACACCGGCCTATTCGAAGGTTTTCAAACTCTTACATCGCAAAACTATTCGTTACCACAATTCAGAATACGTTTCTTTATTCTATTAATTTGTATAAATAAATTTTAAACCGGAGCACGTTATATATCGTAATCGTAATTATTGTTTTACTTATAAAAGGAACCGCATCCTTTCTTCGGCATACCCTTAAAGAATACAGGCAATAAAGAACGGATCGATCGAAAATGTGTCCATTTACGGTAAGAGTAACGCGTAATCGAGTAATCGGTATTTTCTTTCGAACCGAGCGTGGTGGAGGAATCGGGACGAGAATTTCTTGAATCTTATATTTATGGTCTATCGTTGGTTTTATTTGCGTCGAATCGAAAGCCAAGCATCCTTAATTTTAAGCAACTCGATTGTTTCCAACTATAATTCTACGCAAGTGCCGCGAAAATAACGCGACAATAATACGGGAACATCTCAGTCTACCGATCGATATTTCTAAACGGGATTTCATATTTCTTTGTTCGTTTCGCCAACGAATCGGGGCAGCTTCGAGCCGGCGGAGACAAGGGTAGTTTAACCGGTGTAGCTGCTATGTTGTCCCATAATCCAGGAAGTCGAGATCCATCGGACGCGTTGCATTGCATTCCTAAAGAAAAATCGATTCGATCAGAGAAACTATTTTGTCCTCGCCCGCCTTTCTTTCTTTCTTTCTTTCTTTCGAACAACCCGTAATAATAGATAATAACGAATTAAAATACAAAGAGACCTAACGGTGCAGCTTCGTAGAGATCGCGTAGAGCTTGCACACGAACTTTCGTCCATCGGATACTTCGATAATTCGTTGATACATCGGTGTCGATAGTAGTGGGTTGACTTTCCCATTCTCTTAAATATCGGAAGTAGGTTCTCAGAGCATCGTCGCTTATAGCGCTTTTACATACCTGGAATATACGATGAAATCGACCGATTCGAATCGGCGACCGATAGATCGAATATTAACCCTGAATACGTACGCGCGTCGCTAACCAGCGCGCATCACCTACCTCTAATCGAGCATCGGGATAATAATGGATGTAATTCACGCACATTTCATCGGAAATTGCAAAACCGCCAAGAGTAACGTTCTTCCTGTCCATCGTTTTGTACGTGCAAGTCGTTATCAGAGAGTCGCCCTGTAACAAGCACACGAAAACAAGTCGACGAGAGAAATCGTTCGAAATCCAAAGTATCGTATGTAGAATGCGTTACAATGATTAGCGATTAAAAGGGACCGAGCGGTCTTTACGGGTAAAACGGTGACGGGTTTCGGCAGAAGTCGAATCTCTTGGAAGTGTGTAGAGTAGTGATTGTCGTAATTTAAGAGAGGCAATTCTTCTCCGTCCCGGATATGGCGGGTGAGAACTTTCGTGCCAGTTAGATGCGTGTGAAGCTGCGAAGCGAAAATATGGATCCCTTGCTGCGGAAGTCCAACCCCCGTACACTCCTGAACGCAGTGCCCCGATAAAGCGAAGGCTTCCTGAACGAACAGCAATAGGAACACGATGCTTGAACGTTGATTACCGGAAGATCGGTTCCACGGTCCAGGACATTTCAGAATTACAATATTTAGTTACTTGCTGCGGCGGTATCGCCATTTTATCCGTATACTCTAAACCCAACTCGATCACGCCGGCATCGTACTTCCGTAAGCTCGATGTTAGAATCAAACGAATCCCGGATGAATCGATCTTTCCTTCCTCGATCTCGGGATTGTTGTAATGGACCTCCAACATTACATAAGGATTAAAATCCTTTCCACCGATGGGGAATCCAACTTCCTCGGGATAGACGAACGCGTCCGCGCCCATTGCCCAGGCCGCCAACACCTTTTTGCATATCTAACAGGAAAGTAATATACATTTTACGATACAAAATACATTCCCTCTACCATATTTCCGCTATATTTCCGGCAAACGAAGCAACAAGATCGCGTCGCATCTCTTTGTACACCGTACACGCGTACGTATAGCATAATTTGTATAACATGGGACAGATCGAGTGTTTCCGGTGCTTTTAAGCGATTCTAAGTTTTGT